CATGCAATTTGGTTTCTCTGCATGGATGGCGATTACACTAGAGTATGTGTCTAGACCCAGTGTACTGGTAGCCTTGCAAAAATTTCTGCATGTTTAAAAGAAGTCACTTGGGAAAATGATTGATTGATTCATTCATTGATTCATTCATTGATTAATCATTTAGTTGATTGCAGCTTAACCATTTTGCCACCTACAGACAAAGCAACACCAGATACAGAAGCATAAGCAGGCAATTGGAATGCAGTCAATAAATTGGAGGGGGGAAAGACTGAGCAGGCCATTTTCAGGGCCAATATAGTTGAAGCAGACCTAAAACCCTTGTTGTGAGTGTCAAGACAGGGCCCCAGACTCACTCTGCCAAAATAAGAGTCCCCCAACCCACTGCCAGTTTCTATTAAAAGTAAAACGCTCAACAGCAAGAAGCTTAACGACGGACATCAGATTATAGCTTCTGGCGAGGGAATTAAATGGCTCCCCATGAGAGATGGAGCCAGGAAGGGACTATAGGAAGAGAGGCCACAAGTACTGTATGAGAGAAGGGCCAAAAAGGGTGGGACCAGGCTGAAATGTACAGCCATGGATGAAACTAAGAGACCACTCTGTATTTTTAAACAAGTCTGAATTTTTTAATCCTGGTTTAATCCTGGTTCAGATGGCAGAAGGCTACTTTGAGCAGCATGGTTGCTTACCGGTTCAAAATTTCTAAAACAGCAGTGCACAAGAATAAGGCATAGCAGGAGACACCAGAAACCAGCCAGGTGGAGGGCAGAAACGACTTTCTAATGCCAGAGATGACTGTTAACTTATTCAACAGTTACTGATGAATCGCAGGATGACATCGAGTAACCTTCAAAAGGAATGGGAAACATTAAGTGCAAGTGTTAGGTGCTCTGCTAGGACAGTTCATATCAGGCTCCTAGAAGCAGGACTGAAGTCCCATAAGAAGCCCTTCATTAATGAAAAGCATGGAAGAGCCACACTGGAGTTTGCAAAAAAAAATATATATATATATATACAGTGGTACCTCATTTCTCGAACTTAATCCGTTTCTAACTCCGGATCGAATCCTAAAAAGTTCGAGTTCTGATCGAATTTTTCCCTTAAGAAATAATGGAAAACCAATTAATTGCTTCCCGGCCCCCCAAAATTACACCTAAATATGTTTTGTTTTTTTTAGCATCTAAACACAAAATGAACAGGATAAAACAAGAAGAGCATTTTTTTTCTTAATGGCTTCCAAAACGATAAAGATCTTATCCCAACATTACCCCTGTCCTGCCCCAATCATCTGCTCCTTCCGTGTGCCACGCCCCCTCGTTAACTCCCCCTTTGAGTCTGGTCCCTCCCAAGGTTTCTTCCTTCTAGGGAGTTTTTCCTTGCCACTGTCGCCTATGGCTTACTCACTGGGGGCTTTGGGTGGGGATGCTGTAAAGCGCTTTGGGACAATGTAATGTTGTGATAATGCGCTATACAAAAATAAATTTGTTGTTGTTGTTGTTAACCTCGTGTGGGATCCCCATGTGATCAGCTGTTTCTGGTTGTTGTCATTAGTCCTCTATATTAAGTCCGCGTTTCAGTTTGTTTCCCCAGTCCGGTTATTGGGTGCGTTCGACTTGCTTACAGCTGGCTTAAAGCAACGCATTCTGATCCTGACGCAATGCATTACGGTTAGATGCATTGCGACCTCTCACCCGGCTGCACAAACTGGAACCGCCTCTGTGATGACACAACTTTGCCCTTATTGGCTGAAGAGTTTAGTTACACGCATGACGTTTGTATCCCAGGCAGTTCCGATACTTAATCTGCTATTTCTCCCGAATATCACGTAAAGCAGTGAGTACTGGTTTTCAGTTAATTTACCTGGTAAAATAAAGTTTAAATAAATGACATAAATGCTCTAATAGTACACGTAAGTTAGTGGTTTATTTATTGTTAGTTACTGTAATGTTGCGCTGCTTTATTTGGTTAATCGTCCAGTCTGTGAAGAAGGCATTCAAGTAAGAATTGCATTGCATTGTGACTCATTTCCTGGCATGTACAATTTATATTAGGTCAGCGTTCACGGTTCGACTTCTGATATTCAGATCAAGTTCTAGGTCAAACTGGTTTGTTCCACTTTCAAGAAATTCGAGTTCTAGTGAGTTCGAGAACCGAGGTACCACTGTGTGTGTGTGTGTGTGTGTGTGTGTGTGCGTGTATGTATATATATATATATATATATTTCCTCACAGACAGACCTCCATAAATTGAGAAATGAGTGAAACAGAAGATTGTGCTGTGGTCTCAATTTTTTCCATGGATGTGTATACACAACCACACATACAGGTCAATGGATGCTGGGGGGAAAGTGGAAGAGACTTCTGGCTGTAGTGCAGAAAGACAGAGAATAAAGGAAGCTGAGAGAAGCCATCTTTGTTCTTTAAAATGTTGCGTATACTGTAATATGCTCACAAAATTGAACACTTCAGCTGAAGCTGTTTCTGATGTCTTTTCTAGGTCTAGCGTTCTTGCCGAAAAATTGTAGTTAATCTATCAGTTAATGCAAACATCAATTGTTACCCACAGTGCTTTGAACGTTCACGGTTATCTTTGACATTATAGAACATTGCAGAGTGAAATTTCTGCAGTTGAAAAGGAAATGATGACTGTGTAGGGTGGAGTGAGATTGGTGCCGACAGGCAGTGAGATTCCCACTCCTGTGGATGAATTATATAATAATTCACTTTCAAGATTTAGCTGTAAGTACACAAAAAATGAACCTCAACTGTACAGTGCTACATTAAAATAAATATTCCCCACAGCACGTGCAGCAATAGAGCAGAACAATTTCAGGAACATATTTTGGCAAATCGGCTGTCATTTTCCCCATACCATAGCATAAATCTTAATAGGTCATTTGTGGAAAAAAAGGATTCATATTCATCGACCACAGTTTGTATGAGATCCAGCCTCCATCACAAATGCCCTAATCAGTCAGAGAAAATGGTTTTGTTTGAAGATTAGCTCGTCAAGTAAATACTTCTGGCAGACTTAAGGTTGAGCTAATATAGAGTGCATTTCTTAATTGCAGCAATACATTTCCATTTCACTTAATGCTGGTCACCCTATGGATTTCACATTATATTTCAATTTACTTCATAATAGAACCCCACCACACACACACACACACACACACACACACACAAAGTGAACACATTGTCTAGCATTAAATCTGACAGCATTGTTGATTTTCACATGGACAATCCCAGACTACTGATTTTCACATGTTTACTGGTGCACGTTTTGTTTGAAAGACAGCAGTGCAAAACGCGCAAAAATACCTATCTATTTCGCTGCTTGTTATACACCTTCTGTGTGAACAAATTAATTTTTACTATCATTCAACAATTGTTTACACGTATTCACCATCAATTCTTTAATTTTCTTCTATTTCACCATTATAGTTCGTAATAAATTTGTTAATCACTCAATCACATTCAAAGATTTACTGAAGTACAAGCATGACTCTTCGCTTAAGATGTTTCATTTTAGATATTTAAAGATAAAGAAAAATCAGAGAGCTTCTGAAAACACAGGGCAACGTGCGTAGGAGTGAAAATCATATGAAAGTGTCTTGCTTTGTGCACAGCACAACATAACAGGGATACTGTGCCTCTGGGCGCGTCGTTCCTCCTCCCGCAAGGTCACGCTGAGCGCATCATCGGGCAGCCCAGCCTGCGCATCAAAGGATGCCGAGGTGACCTCCGGGTAAACCTCCATAACGATCCTGCCTTATTGCCAAAGCTGCCCTAACGGGGCCACTTCAAGCGTCTGTCCTCGGCCGCTTTGTTAAATAACTGAAGGTCAGCGCTTAACAAACATTGACTCTAATCATTGTTTGCCTTTTCAGTAATAAGAAAATGGCAGCTAGAATTTAAAAACGTGAACGTCTTTAATGCTCTGTATGTCATGCATGTGTTTTATACGTGCTTGGATCTTCGGTTTACGACGTGCCCAAAAAGCGCAAACAGCGGCGACCAGCCCACGAAAATAAAAATATACGACGCCCGGGGTTTCATCAGTGGCTCGTAACGGATTCACCCTTCTGCAATACATAGCATGCAGATTTTTTATTATCATTATCGTTGTTCTTATTTCAAATAACCTGAGTCTTTCAAATAACCTGAATCTATTCTTGTGCGCCAAGACAGATGCCATCCTACGAAAACAGCTAGAAATATTACAATGATTTAGCATTTTTATTGCAGAATTGAATGCATCTTAAAGTTTAATAAAGATACACAAAGCTGCACGTGTCTGGGAGGATTAAACGCTGGGATATTCACTGTGAGATCACTGAGCATATTAATTGCACTGGAAACATGATGTAAGAAAAGAAAAAAAACCGTGACAGCAGGTACTCCAGCGAATAGACAAGAATCACCTGGACGACACCACCCTCACCAAATAAATAAATAAATAAATAAATACATACATAGACAAACAAACAAGTAACGAGGTCATTTCAGGCATTTCCCACATTTTATACTGTATATCTTTTTTCCCATAATTTCTAATGGCGACATTGCGCTCCGTGACCACATGCGTGACCTTGGTTAGAAACAGTCCTACATTCGATGTAAATGGAACGATGCAATGCAATGTGACGGATCCCAAAAGAAAGACATTGCATTACGGTGTATTATATTTTTTTGTGTTGTGTCATGTCACTTTGGCAGTCATCCAGAAGGTTACAGTTTATGTAACAAAATAATCTCTGTCCTGCAGACTGCGCTGCGAGAGAACGGTGATGTGCGCGACTTCGGGGACGGAGAACTAATGTCTCTGCTGCAATCAATCAACATTTGCGACGGTCAATATCACTGTAAGGTCGCAAATACATTTTATAGCTTGTAAACTCCAGTATTACGGAACGTTTAGAGGGAGGATTCAGTGATTAGTGATTGCAGGTGTTAAATGATGTGCTTTTCTGTTCAATGCGGGAAGACGGAAACACTTACTTGCCTACGAAGTTCTCCAGTACGGAGCTTTTCCCGGCACTTTGACCACCGACAACAGCGATCTGGGGGAGATCTAGGTTGGCGTTTTGTCCGATAGCAGAGAAGGCATCCTGTAGTTTGTTTACCAGAGGAATCAGGTCCTCCATTCCCCGGTTACCCATCTTTGCAAAGGTGCGGACGAATCTTTCTTATAATGCCACTAATAGAAAGACCGCTTGCCTCTTAAATAAACACCTATCCCTATTTTCACCCCTGTTACAGCTGTCAGAGTGTCACGGTATGAATGCTTTCAACCTCCGCCGTCTATTTTATTTTTGCATGCGTCTTCATTGATTACCCTCTACCGGCGTACCCTCCGTAGAAAATGTTACTCTTCACCTCCCCCGCTTCTCCCTCCGTGCTGTCTGTGAGGCAAGCGAAAGGGATGATCTCTGCTTTCCTCACAATAAAGTGGGAGATTCCGGCGCAGCCGCTTCTGCTCCGCTAGGGGGCGGAGTGACGCTGCAGCGAAAACCTCCAGGCATGCTGGGTAATGTGACAATGCTTATTGTTACCGTAAAGTCTGCGTGCCTTGTATTTTAATTGGCAATGGTTGTGCCGTTTGCTAACTATCTTCACTAACCTTTTATACAAATGGGTAATAAAAAAATAAAAATAGAATAAAGTTTAATGGTGCTAAAACAGTTCAAAATGTAAAATGACTAAGCGTAAGTAACTTAAGTACTATATTTATTATTTATTTATTTTTATTTATTACAGAAGCATCATGCAGCTGATATGCATGACTGAATTGGACAAGCAATTATAGAAGATGGATGGATGGATGGATCTGTAAATAGCAAGACACATTGTAGGAGTGTTTTGTCACATTACTGTCCTGACTTATGTAAAGTGATGGGACCTTTTAATTTAAGCAGCTGCTTGCAGATAACCAATAAGAGGGGAAAAGGGACATTTAACTGTTGCTACCCTTTAATTCGCAGCTTTTTTCTGTACCGGTGCATTTTCCCTTGTGTTTGTTCATAAACATATATAGGAATAACAACACTGACCTGCAATTTGAAATGAACTAATTGCAACTTGAGCTGCTGCCTCCTCCACGCCCTAAAGCTCTCTCATACACTCCTATTTTATTTGACACTTTGTAATGTTAATGTAATACGTTAATACTAAATATTGAATAGTAAAATATACATTGGCAAACACTGCGAAAGTCTTCATTACTGCTTTATTTCTCTGACAGATATGAGGGACAGAATATTGTATATTTATTAGTATTCATTAATTACTTTTAACATAGTCTATTACCATGGTGATATTTGTGGATCTAACTAAATGTGCTTATGTCTGTCATCAAGCTATCTCTGCTCTTGATCCTTCTGCCTGATTTTTGTCCCCCTTCATTTCCTTCCTCCAACTTAGTGAAGTGGCCCACTGGAGTCTTGTAATCATCACTATTTGTATATTATAATGTATATATAATACAGTTAATGATACCTTGAGATCTCCTCCCATTTATTTTCCCTCTGTCATCGCTCTTGTTGTCTCTCTGGGCCCAGCTGCCACGTCAGCTTTCGCTCCACTTTTTAGATAGACATATCTGCATCTATCCATCTTCTCCCTCCAGAAAGGTTAATTGACTCACATAAAGGTTTTATTAGGGCCTCTAAGCGCACTTCCACCAGGATCACCGCCTCATGCCAAACACACTGGTGTCACTGGGAGATAGAACGTTGTTTTTAAAGGTTACCATATGGGTGGTCATTTCCAATTGCTTTTTGGAATGTTCTATAGAGCATTTTGTTGGCTGCCACTTTGTTTTTGCCACAGGCTTTCACTAGAATTCTGCCATTTGCTTCCATGGAAATTTTTTTCCCGTCTTTTTTCAGAGCCAAATGATCTAGAAATTTCCATGAAAGCTGTTTAAGGCATCATGAAAGTCCTCGTTCTGGATTTCCTCCATGTCCTATCTCTGTGGGACTGTAATCTGTCAACTTGTCCGTCAGACTCCACTTTTCATCTTTCTTTTTCTTCTACTTCTGTACTCTCCTACTCTTCTCTCACACCTCCATCACTATCTTTTTTAGGTTCCACCACCGTCCACCTTTGATCTCTCTTCCCTTCACCATCTGTCTCTATCACTCCCTTCACTACCATTTTCCTCTCACAATTGTTGTCTCACTTCCCTTTTTTCCTTCCCCAGCTCTCTTGGCACTTTCACTGTATGCCAGCCTCCTCTTCAGTGACTCATGACACTGCACAATTTTCACTGTGTCTGAGTTGGTGTCTGAACTGCTATTTGTGTGTAGCAAATGCCTGAACCAACAGGTGAGCTCATCTCACATCACTGGCACTATGACATCGCACTGGAATCACAACACAAGTCCTTATACACTTCGCCATGTTTTTATTGGTTAGTGTCAGTATAAAAAACAAAGCAATTCACGGATCCATCAGCGGTCACGCTGGGAAGGTGGCAGCTTATCAGAAGGTACACATTCATACACAATGCAATTTACAGATGCCGGTTTGCCAAACTGCACGTTTTTGGACCGCAGGAGAAAGCCAAAGTACAGTACTCAGTGAATGTGTAATTTAGATCATAAAATATACTGTATCGCGAGAGCAGCAAAGGATGACTAGACTGGCCTACTGGGAAGAACACGCTCTTCTATTACAATCCTTACAAGGACTATAAAAGGAAGCCAAAGAGCTCCAAGCTACATGTACTGGGGAAACAGGGAGGTGCAGACCCTGAACTGTAAGGTACACACATGATGGGAGATTTATACAAAGCTAAGGACACGCGAGGATTGGACAGGGTGCACACAAGACACGGACAAATATACACGACACAGTCTGGAAATACAACTAATAACAACAGTACAACACCAGGCTATTTACAGTGCAAAGGGAGGGGCTGTTTACTTATACAAATCCCGCCGCGCTGCAATATTATCACCTACAGTTAATACCAAAACAGTAACACCCACACTAAAAAAATTGAAAATTTATGGAACTTGGGTGAATAGAAGCAGGTACGGTAAATAGGTGGGTGGACGGATAAAACAAAGGTAACAGTTTAGACTAATGATCTGTCCATGGTGCTGAAATATTACAGGGCGTTTAAATATTTCATACATTTAAAGCTAAACTAACAGTTAGCTTTGCTTACATATCAGACCAGATAAGTACAACTATACATTTAAAGGATACAGTTTTATGCTTGTGAATGGTGTCGTTTGTTAAATTAGGCTACTTAAGGCAAATGCTGCTTAGAGGTGTATTTTAACGTCAATTTAGGCACCTTGATAAGTGGTGCTACAGCTCGTCTCCCTCCTAAGACCTCGTCAGACAACTTTTTTTTTCTGGTCCTACCACCATTAAATTTCAGTGATTCGGTGTTTCTTGCCTGAAAATACATGCGGTCGGGTACTTCCAAGAATAGTCCACAAAAGAACAGACAGCTTGAAACTAATGATGGATGGCATTGCCGTGCGACATCAATCACTGCTTGGTTTAGCTCAGTGCCACGCAAAAACAAAATCCAGGGGGATAAAAAATAATCAGTGACACAAGGCCCAGCAACATCGCCCCCAAACTGAGTTACCGGCATTATGTGCTGCGTTTTAACCTCCGTGACAAAAGGGGGCGACATATAAAAGCGCAAATAAACACAACAGAGGCTTGAGATGTTTTTATCTTGCCGGTGCAGCAAAGTGTCTGCGATAATACCGGTATGTTAGAATAATTCAACGACATAATCACGGAAACAGTAGGGAAAACGTCAAGATCCGATTTATTTAAAATAGAATAATAATATCTCCGTTTTTATTGCAGCCAGCTTTATGAATGTCCAAGCCGCGTGTCTGTGTCAGCCGCTCCCAGCAGAGGTAGAGGCGTGATTAACAGTTACAGGTGATCATCAAAAAAGTCGACCTTTTATTTGTCGGGGTAGCTCAGAAAACGATCCGTAGTTTCGTTTTGGGTTTGTCTGTTTAAATCATAAAAGACAGGCGGTTTCCGATTATTAGCACCAAATCGGTTAAGTACTGTAACGTGAAACTTCCTACCTAGAAATCTTATCTGCGGTGGAGGTATCTGTTGAAGTTTAATTAGGTAGCGGATCTTTGCCCGATTGTCACGAAATGGGCGAAGTTGTTAGTGAGTAGTTACCGGCCAGAGGTAGTTTCTGATATTTTAAAAATGAACTATTAAGCACGGGGAAAAAATCACAAAAACTTCAAAAATGTCCCCCATCAGGATCCAGGTGAAAATTGTTTGCTTGTTTGATTGATTGATTGATTGATTTTTTTTTACAGTATAGCGGCTTGCAAACGCGATCAATCAGGATGTTCACTCCTCATCAGCAACAGCATCTCCGGCAGCTCCAGCAATTGTTCCAGCAGCACCCGCCGCCTCCACAGGTGGCGCCGTCGCATCACGTCCCACATCAGTACCAGGGAGGCCGGTGAGCCTCTTAAGACGGTGCCCGGTTCCAAATTATGTAAACCAGGCTCTATCATGTAATGTTGAAAGTACATAGCTGATTGAGACAGTCGTTAATTACCAGCTGAGTCACCAAATTTGCCTTGTTAAGTATGGTAACTGGCCACTTCAGTGGTGAACATCTGAAGTTACATTATACCCGCATAGCCTGTACACAGAAGTAAAATTATCCAGTGTGAAAACCAGACAAGCTCTGAAATTATTTGGAAGTATAAATTTGTTGTAAGAGCACATTGTGTCTCCTTGCTCTTGTCCAGGACCAGCAGGCCGCTGGCTGTCCCAGTGCTTCCACCACCGCCCCCGGCCCAAGTGGTCGGCCTGGGCCGTACCACCCCAGCTGCCATCATCGCCCCAAATCCCATGCTACAGGGAGCTTTGCTGATGCAGCAGGTCCAAGGTTTGTCCTTGGTTTTACCATACTGTATATCAGAGCTCCCCCTTTCCGGTCCCGGAGGGCCAGGATCCAACACAGTTTGTAGATTTCTCTGCTCAAACACACCTTAATCAACTAATTGCCAGGTTTAGTAGGTGTGTGTGAGCAGGGAAATCTGCAAACTGTGTTGGATGCTGGCCCCCCAGGACCAGAATTGGGGAACCCTGCTGTATATGAACATGAAGCTTAATCATTGCCTGTCATGACGGGTTATTTGGCATGATTTGGCACTTTAAATTGTTTTAATACATCTTAGCCTACTACTCCTCCTACAGGAATATTATGACCATATCCAGAATCTGTTTGACATCTCCAGGCATTATATGTGTGTGTGTGTGTGTGTGTGTGTGTGTGTATATATATATATATATATATATATATATCCAGGTATTATAACTGCAATATTAACAACAGTTATTGCCTTAGATTTCTTTCTTGAATTTTGAATTTTTAAACCCCCAAAATAAATGCCAGAGACTCATGACCCCCATTTTGCCAACCAGTGGGGGGTGAGTAAGGGTCCCCCTCGGCTGGTTTCACAAACCACCTCCCCCCCAACTGTATCAGTCTGTCTGCTGCAGCCTAACGTCTCTTTCAAAGCCAAGGTGAGCCCACCGTCATACACTGCAGGTCGCACTGTGCTCTGGAGACACGGCTAGCCCGCAGCTACCTGCCGGGCCTGTAGGGGGCACTGTATCGGCACTGACTCTCCTGCCCTCCTGGTCTGTATCAGTCACGGTCAGCAGGGTTCTGATCATTTTACTACTTGAGCCAGGGAGCTGACGGGAGGTGTGTGTCTCAGTGAGTTTGGATTATGCCTGTGATCGGAAGGTCGCTGGTTCAAATCCTAGGGTTGGCAGAGTGATTTCACTGTTGGGCCACAACAGCAAGGCCCTTAACCCCCGGTTGCTCCGGGGACTGTCTGACCGCACTTTCTCAAAAAATGTGTGACTTTGGGTAAAAATATCCGCTAAATAAGTAAATGTAATGAACACAAATCATTTTATCTTATTCATTTCAGGTGTATAACAGTGGGTAGAATGTAACAACCCCCCCATTTATTAACAAAATATACCGTCCCAATATACAGCTTTCACTAAACAGTGAGACCACTGGTGTATACTATATTTTAATTTACTCTGAGTTACCCAGAATGTCTCTGGGCAATTATACAAAAACCTGAAACAGGCACGTAAAGCTAGAATGCCCTTCATCAGTTGAGCATGTTTCTGAGTGTACAGTGAGGGTTGAGAAACAGTAAATAATGACTTCCGGCCTCCTCTCCTTCCTGCTTTCCTTGTTTTCTCCCGCTTAGGTAATATACGGGGGTTTGCGATGGGAGGACACCAATTCCCACAATTCTTCCCGGTGGGGGTGAGACCCTCCCTCCTTGGCCCAGTTCCACTGGCTGTCACCAACAAGACCCCCCTGGCGGGATTCCCTGCCCGTACCGTGCACCCCCAAACTCGCTACCGCAGCAATGTGAGGCCCCAGCCCTTATGAACCCTGTGCATACACTGGGCCTCAGTCAGAGCAAAGTTTCCAGCTCATTCCTCATCGTCTCTAAAGTGCCCCTCAGCCCTCTGTACATAGACATTTTTGGTGAATGTCAACCTCACCTGTCAGACAGATTTAAGCTCTAACCAAAGCTAACACATAAGCAGGGCGGTCTGGATCTGATTCTCCATCCATCCGTCTTTCTGTCACTTACCCAGTGCGGGGTCACATAGACTCTGGATTATATCAGTTTTTAAATATTTTTAATTTCAATTCAATTCAATAATTAAAATTAAAAGTGGGTGGCATGGTGGCGCAGTGACATTGTGGGGTTTCCTCTGCGTCCTCCACTTTCCCCCCCCAGTCCAAAAACATGCTGAAATTAATTGGAGTTATCAAATTGCCCTTGGTGTGTGTGTGTGTGTGTGTGTGTGAATGGTGTGTGAGTGAGAGTGAATGGTGTGTGAGTGTGCCCTGAGATGGGTTGGTGCCCCATCCTGGGTTGTTCCCTGCCTTGTGGCCATAATTTCTGGGACTGGCTCTGGACCTCCCGTGACTCTGAATAGGACAAGAGGTTACAGAAGATGGATGGATGGATTAAATTAAACATTTTCTACCTTGGTAAGTTACTGGCTATCTATAGGTCTCAAAAGTTAGTTTGAACAGTAGAACCAGTAATTATCCGACTTGTGATGTAGTCGCTCTTACATTCTACATTTATATTTGTTTAGCATATACTTTTGTCCAAAGCACCGTACATGTGAGGTAGGCAGTATACACAGCCATAATAGATCTGTCCTGTTATCTGATGGTTTGGCTAATCCAGGTTAGAGAACCGAATGATTATTTAATCTCACATCGATAAAAAACACCCTATTCCATCCTCTCATTCTCATGTTCTGTGGGCATTTTCACCATGAAGTAGGTTTTTCAATCTACCCATATAGCTTTTCAGAAAAGAGGAATAACAGGTGTTTCTTTCCTTTGGAGCAGTGCTTCCCAATCCGGTCCTCGGGAGCCCCAGACAGTCCAGGTTTTACCTACTGGGAGCTGGGAGGAAGCAGTGATGTGGACTGTCTGGCAGGGAGCTGGGAGGAGCACTGATGTGGACTGTCTGGCAGGGAGCTGGGAGGGAGCAATGATGTGGACTGTCTGGGAGGAAGCTGGGAGGGAGCAGTGATGTGGACTGTCTGGGAGGGAACAGTGATGTGGACTGTCTGGCAGGGAGCTGGGAGGGAGCAAAAACATGGACCGTCTGTGGGTATCTGTAGACTGGGCTAGGAAACACTGCTTCTGAGGATGGGGCAACTTGGTCTCTTGCTGCTGTGATGTCTGGGAACTGGATGTTCTCCTTCTCCTTACAGGACTTTGTGGCACGGCAGCTGGAGAGGATGCGTGAGAGTGAGCAGCCAGCGGCGCGGGTAGCTGGCACAGACGGGGGCACTGTGGACAGGACCGTCTGCAGAGGTACTGTACCCCCTGCAGGGTGACTGAAAGCACTGCTCCAATTCCTCCTCCCTGTCTCCTTTACATAATGAGAGTTTTTACATTTTTACCCATGTGTCTCCTGGTTGAGAGTCTAGAGCGCGTTAAACACCTAGAGCAGCAAGCTAGCGTTGGCAGCTAATTCACCCAGGGAGTCATGCAGTCATTATAGACTAAAGTAGATTTGCGTATCACTCCTCTCCTCCGGCCTGACAGAGGAGGTGGTGGCAATACCGGGAGCACAGACACAGCCCTCGCCACGGCAACAGGAAGAGCCTCCCACGAAGAAGCAGAGGAGCGAAAGGTAAACGGGACCCGACTCCCACGTTGAATTTCAGATAAAGGTGCAGACCTGAGAGACCTGTTAGGCTCCTGGGGCGAAGCCTTCCCAGGAGATGGAGCTGCGAGTGATCAGAGCGTGCTCAGAATAACGTTCACCAGACATTGATCTATATTCATGCAAATAGCTGTACTGATTAAATGGAACCGGCGTTTGTAATTAAGCTTGGGAGGGAGCCCAGGTACTGTGTCGAATAGATGGTTTACGGAATTGGAATCTGACGCTTGGTTCTCCTTTGAGCTCGCGCTGCTCCTCCTGCTGCTCCTCACTCTGCTTCTCCTGCTGCTCCTCACTCTGCTCCTCCTGCTGCTCCTCACTCTGCTCCTCCTCTGTCCCCAGGCCTGAGGTGCAGGCAGAGCAGCCCCCACGGCCCGGAGCCGACCCAGGAACGGGGTGCAAGAGCCCTGGGGAGGTCAGCGATCCCAGAGGTGCGTGCCGTAGACAGAGTCTGTGTGCGGAGGTGGGGGGGCACCTTTTGTGCGTCAGGCTCTGGCTGAGATCCTCAGACCCCTAATGTCCGTCTCCCTGAAGAGGCCAGTCTGAGGCTGTCTGCAGCTGAATGGGAGCAAATCGATTAACTCTTCAGAAAGATCCAGCACAGTGCCAAAGGGAATATTCATTATTGTTGTACATTGAACCTGCGATCTGCAGAAATATTTGGCTCAAACATCAGTCTTATAACTGCTTATCCTGGTCAGGGTAACAGGTAATATCTCTTTAAAGCCAGAAAATTAGTATTTTTATTAGTTTTAACTGCTGACCTTAAATCAGGATAGTCGGTCCTTCATAGCAGTTAGGCGTTTTCGTCTTTCTATCCCTCATTTTTGGGCCGTCTAGGTGGAGCAGTCCAGGTTGAGGGAGGAAGCACAGCTGGACCAGAGGCCGCGGAGGAGAGCAAAGCGGCAGGAGTGAGTGCAGCATGTCGGGAAGCGGGAAGAGTCAGGCTGGAGCCAAAATCCACGACCGCGACGTTATTCGTATGTTTGAAGGAACTGAATGTTTTGCCCTAAGCCACTTTCCGAAGTTTGAACCCATAGTCCTTGGACAACACAAGTCCAGCTCCTGTTATGGACCCACTGTGTTTCCTGCTTGGGAGCTGAGCAACATCTTCCTTTGTTTCTCTTATCATCGCCATGGTTACCATGGACCTGAATACACTGCCCGAACCATTTTGTATTCCTGGAGCGTACTGTCCTTATTGATTATTTTTTTTTTGCCCTCCTCAGGTGCTTAGCGGAGCAGCATCCCGTGACGCTGCCTTACAGCCGGATAACGGGAGCTGTGCGTTCGCCGTAGGGCCGGAGGCGCCCCCGGAGGCCAGAGAGGGCACGGCACCCCTCGCGGAAGCCCCAGATGAGAATGGGAAGACGGGTGGAGACGCCTCCAGGAGGTTCTTCTGTTATATCTGCAGCATCGCCTGCTTCACCCAGCAGGTGTGGCTCTGTGGAAGGCAGCCAAGCTGCTGTCCCTTATCCTGCCCACGACCTCCCGACCTGTTTGTGACCTGAATGTCTCCGGCAGAGCTTCCAGAGTCACATGACCGGCCTGGTCCACCAGCGGCGCATGATGGAAATCCAGCATGCGAGCAGCGCCTGCCTGGTGACTCTGCTGCCCCACGTCCAGGAGTCGCTGCTGGGGATGTGTGGAGAAGGGTTAGTGTCCACCACCGCTCCCCCCACCTCCCCCCGGGCCTGACGGAGCGTCATAGGGCCAGGCAGCTACACCCCCTACAGCTGTACCATCCATCTTTCCATTCATCCACCCATCTTCCATAACCACTTACAGGACCAGTCAAAAGTCTAGACACACCTGCTTTTAATGCATTTATCTTACAGTAAAAGCCCAAGTTGGCTATCCTGCAGTTACTCTTCATCCCAACCCAAACCAGCTCTATAGGGTTTAGGACGGGAGGTGGGGATTGTGGGGGCAGGTTATCTGTCACAGCACTCCATTTCTTTTCTTGTTCAGATAATACTTACTGCATAACCTCCTTATCTTGTTGAAAAACCAAATTATTTTCAGTAGGCGTGTCCAGACTTTTCACTGGTAGTGTATATATTTCTGGGTCAGCCTGGAGCCTTGACAGAGGACAGGATATCAGTACGACTATAACGTGAGATTATTTAGTAATGTTTGTCAGGGGTGGAAATTTCAGGTCCAGAAAGTAAAAATTCAGACCAAGGTTTTGTTTCAACCAACCAGTTGAGTACTCTGTGACTCTGACTCTTTATGCTCAACCGGTTGGTTGAAACAAAATCTTGGTCTGGATTTTTACTTTCTGGACCTGAAATTTCCACCTCTGATGTTTATACTGTTTCTGTTGCAGGGAGGAAAAACCAGGCTTGAAGAAATGGCACTCCACGTGCCAGGCCCACCTCGCTAGCAACGTGAGCGAGCGCCAGAGGAGCAGGGAGCTCAGGATGAGGGCCGAGAAGGGGGGGGGCATGCAGAGGGGAAGGCTGGGCAGCAGGTGGCGCAGTGGTTAAAGACCTGCCCCCTGTCACTGAAGTGGCAGGGTCAACCCCTAGATAAATCCAAGACTTGTTTGTGGCATTTTTTGAAATAGTATTAAGCAGAATTATAGGTTATTACATTACTGTAAATATGTAAATGAGGGGGAGGGGCAACACTTAAAGCTAAGTGTCAAATAGCGATATATTGCTAACTGATAATGCTTTTGTGCCTGGAGTCCAGAAGAGAATCTCAAAGCCTTTCTCTCCTCCTTCCTTGTGGACAGCTTGCCAGTCGCTTTGCCTGCCTCTCCTGCACCGTCTGCAGACTGCGTTTCCAAACTCCTTACAGGTTTATGAAGCACATGGAGTCACTGGACCACCAGCAGAGGATGCTGGCGGTGAGGGGCTCTGTGCGTGCGTGTGATGCCCTGTGCGCGTCTCAAGAATGAACTTGTGTGCAGCAAATAATTGCACACAGCCCAGCCAAAAAAAAAGTCACCATTTGAATATTTCATTGAACCGCCTTTAGCTTTCATTATGCTGCACATTTGTCATGGCATTGTTGAGATGTTGCATAAGCAAGTGGAAACATTAATTTTCACGCAGATTTGCATTCATTTCTCATCAAGATCTTGTGCTAACAACTGAGTTGAACCACTCCGTAAAGCACATCCCAAAGACTTTCAATGAGGTTAAGGTCAAGACTCAATTGGTGGGCAATTCATATGTGAAAATGATTCCTCATGCTTCCTGAATCACTCTTTGACAATTCGAGCCTGAAGAATCTTGACATTCTCATCCTGGAATATGCCCATGCCAACAGGGAAGAAAAAATCCATTGACGATGCATGGAGGCATAACCTGCTGATTTCACTTTATTGCTGCATAACGTTGCTGAGCTGTAACAGTGATCCAGTCATTGGCTCTTAAATATTTGCTGATTTAAATTCAAATGGTCACTTTTTCTGGCCGCTGAACAAACATTTAGGGCCCATGAACAAACATTTGTCAAATGTATTATTGAATGAACTTGTGAGTTGTAAACAATCTTTTATTTCCCCTTAATTTTCCAATTCGTAACTTTGCAGCTGCATGAGGAGGGCGGAGCCACCAGCTTGGCTGATGGTGCAGAGGGATCGGTACAGGAAGACTATGAGGAAGAGGCTAGTGAAGATGAGGAGGAGGATGAAGGCAGCTTCCACAGCCAGGCAAGGGTGCAAGTAGTGATACGGATGCAAACACATTACACAAGCATGCAGCTGAGAACAATAACCTAATACAGTATAAATTAACTGTAAAAAGCAGTTACTGTGTGGGTGTTACTCCTCCTGTCTCCTTTAACACCAGGAAGGAATCAATTCTGAAAAAGAGGTTACCCTAGAAGATATGGGTGACAATGAAGAATATGACCAAGACACACAGTATGGTGAGTGCCTCATGACACTAGGGGGCGCCGTTTTCTACCAGCCATGCAAACTTAGTAAAAAGTAAAGGATGTTTTTGTTAGGTCTGAGAATGTTTAATCACGATCAGAATAATAATGTTTGTTTATGCATTTGCCCCCGGTCTTCATGCGCTGTCCCAGGCCCCAGCTTCATGGTGCCGGTATCGGGCTTCCTCTGCCGCCTGTGTCACAAGTTTTACGACTTTAACTCCACGGTCTGGTCGTCCCACTGCAAGTCTCAAAGACACTTCAAGAACGTGCAGGTGGGAGGAAAACAGTGACAGCCCCCTTAAACAAATATTAACTGAACTGGGATTTCATTAAGTTAAGTTGCTGCAACAGGAACTAGAGCTTTATCAACAGGGCAATTAATCTTATTTATTGCAGTACTGTGTAACACCAGCAGATGGGAGTAGAGGATGTTTTATTATGCATTTTTTCATCATTTGCTGATTCAAAATATGCTGTTTGTGTAACCTATGCTAAGTGCACTACAATGCAAAAAAACAGTGAAATACCTCTGAAATACACAAGTGTTTCATTCTATATTTTTTTCTACATTTGCTGTTTTAAAAACAGAAATGTGCAACTTTGACTTTATTTAAACAGTAATAGCTGAACTAGCTGAATGACTATTAATGCCTACAAATTCAATTTGGTGTGTTTTAAATTTCAGTAGTTCCATTATTTCAATATTGCAGTGTTAATCATCAGAATTCAATTGTGATACTGGTATTGTGATAAGTATTTTATCGTGGGCTAGTTGGCAATACCCAGCCTGATTCAAAACCTTGTTAAAATACATTGTCTGATAAGGGCCCTGCTTACCAGTCATAGCAGATTCTGTGCCATGTTCTCTTCTGATGTCTCTCCACTTCCGACAGAAATACAGAACCCTGAGGAAGCAGATCTCATGCAGTAGCACAGCAAACGACCAACAACCAGCACCTGGGCGACCGAGAAGCAGCCAATAGCACAAAGGGTAGTGTGAATTGAGACCTGGATGGGGGTGACGACGCCAGCATGTGCTCTGATAGGCTGCTCTCTGGCCACACCCACCCCTGCTCCCGACTGATGAGCTCAAATGACTTGGAGGTGAGGGCTGCAGGGACACTCTGCAGCTGTTAGTTCCATGGCTGCAAGCAGGCTCTTACAGGAGGGTGATGGACCCCTTCTGCTGCCTCCCACATATCAGAGTTGGAAGCTGGAGAGAGGGTGTGCTCCTCAAGGTGGGAACTGTAACAGGTAGCCCCCCAGGAGCAAAGAATGCTGGTCAATGCAGTGAAAGGCCAGACCGGAAGCATACTGCATGTAGCAAGAACGAACTTAGTAGGTAATTGAGTTGTGTTTCTGTGATGCTAAAAGAACATTTTAGAGTGTAGCTGTACGGAACCCAAGAGAACCCTTTAAGAATTACTGACCCACAGGCTGGGTGGAGCTTTAGGCAGGACACATCGAGCCGTGGCCTCTTGTATGACATAAATTCAGCTGATTTAATTCATCAGTCACATTGGCGTGTAGCTGTTGCATATTTTTTGTGGTGATGGGTATAATTGTGTTTCTGTACCATAGCTGTAGACTGTGGAGCCCCTGAACTCTGAGCTAAACAAAAAATATCTGCACTGATCTCCATGACTCTGTATGGTTACCAAGGCACTATTTCAGATTACTTAGGGTGGAGTTGAAAACATTGATCTAGATGCACTTACGGATTCTGATTCGCTATGGTTGCCTGGAGTAACATGCCAGTCTAGACCATCTGCTGTGCTGAGGTCATCATTTAATGCATGGATGACGGAGGACTTGTCAGAATTTGATGGGCGGCTGAAAATTTGCAAAAAAAAAAAAGCTGCAATGGTCACACATCAAGCTTGCTGTATGAAATCTACAACCCCGGTGTTGCTTTGTGATTTTTAAAACCCATTTCAGGAACTTGAGGTACTCAGAATTGTCAAAAAAATGAATACATCTTTAGACATGTTCCGCAAACAACAAGGATATATACCAGTATTCAAATAATTTACCGGTGATCATGAATACACAACGTGGGATAACAAATATACTTTACCAGGACATCAAGTACATTCCTCAGTGACAGAATCTGCTTTTTTCCAAGATGGTTCCAAGTGCATTGGCACCAGCACCAAGAACTATACATTCAACCATTAATCCAGGTAACCTCTAACAGCAATATCGAAGTAGAAAACAACCTTTTTCAAAATTAGTCTTGATCATTCTGAGCTACCCCTGTCCTGACCGGACGATATCCTAGTTATCCTTTAGTTTTGAACCTTTCAATTTTGTTGTACCTAATATACACACCAGAGGTCATTATGGCTCGCAGAATGGATCTGTTTGTAGCACAGCTATAACCACACAGCCAAGGACAGGAATGTGCCGTTGGGTTGTCATTTAAATCCACTGAAGCTTAAGAGTATGATCCAGTATGGTAATGAGACCGAGTCCAAATAGGGCATCGTTACTCACTAAAGATGGAAAAGGAAAGTGGACCTACTGGGACCCACAGGAACTTCTTTCCTTGGGTAGCAGTAAAGCTTAACAGCTTTGTTATACGACAGAATGTTTAACTGACCAATCAGGCTGCGTGCAGAGCTCCCATAGTGAAGTACGTAATGATTCCAGGGTAAATCTGCCTTAAGCTCTAATCACACTTCACTAGATTTAGTGAGGCCATCTGGATAGGTGCTAATGACACATTAATACAGAAAGAAAAACACTGGATACACGTCAGATTTCTGTGCCCCAAAGGGGCCATATGCTTGACTACAAGAATTAATATAATTCTGCACGGTTTTCGTATAATGTATTTTTATGCTCAAAATGATTGTAAAAGAAGGTGTGTGTTTAGAATTCCTTTTTTAAATCACAGGACATTCATCACACTTCCTGTCTGTGTCATTAATTTGCATAAAAATATCTGAACAAGCTACAGTGAGCAAAGTTGATGCTGTTATTTAAAATTGCGTGGATGTATGGTGTAGTTAAGCACTTCAAACTGAAAACAAAGCAGTTCCGCTCGACATCCCTTTCCTAAAAGAAAAAAAAAACTTCTTAAATAATTCATTATATTTTAGGTATTACATGATACAACAGTTGCAAACCATGAAGGAATGTGAAAAGTAGTCGGGATGACATTTTATATCAAGGAGCCTGAGACCATACAAACATGCATTTTTTTTTTTAAAGGAGACAGCATGTCATTTAGAGAATGATAGGAAATGCCCGTGTTATTGCTGAGGAATGTCTGGCTCAGCTTTGATTGTGCAGGAATAACAACTGAATGTCATCCTCAGCAGAGATGCTGTAACAAGGCCTTGTACATCTTTGGGAAGAAACGTATGCCTCTCCCCCAGGTCATCAAGACAGTAAATGCATTTCTAAAGATACAAGCATTGGGAGGACAGATGAATGATATGTATTGCACAACATAAAACAATCAATAGACCAGACGTAAATTTTAGTGCAAGTCAGCCCCCTCGGAGGGCGCTGGGGGCTCCTCTGGGGGCTCTTTGGGGGGCTCCTCTGCCACCGCGGGGGCTCCGGTCAGCTGCTCCCGGAACTCGCGCCTCGCCTGCCGATTGGACTCGAGCAGCTCGTGCAGTTTGCCGTTCAGCGCGTCGTTACGCTCCTCCAGGTCGTCGAGGCAGGAGTTTATCTGGTCCAGCATGGAGTTGATGGCGGCGTATTCTGGGAGCGCAGGACAACACACATGAGACGCAAACTGGAGGCGGACCATCCGGCAAAACGTGCCTCGTCTGACTTGACAGACGATCCAACTATACTTAGAAGGCCAACAGAAAATAAATAATAAAAACTATCCTAGACAGCATTAAAATTTTAAACGCTAAAAAGTTTTATTTTATCTGCAAATACAAGCTATGTATATCTTAATTACCCAGTAACAGCTATGTATAATTATATACCATAGACTATTTCTGTAAATTAAATATCTGAAGTTGTTTTTTTTTTTAATCTTAAACAAATGGTTTCATAAGACAGCAAGCAACGTGTTATTTTGCGCATAAGTTTTGCTTTGGGGGTTAGCGAAGAGTATATTTGTCTGAGACTATTAATCGGCATCGTTTTAATACATGCATCTAGTTACCTTCGTCGTTGAATTCATCTTCATCCACATCCTCATCGATCGATATATTTGGATCGCCGTTTGGTCCAGACATGTTTATATTAGAAACAAGCGGACGTTATCAAAACGAAATCGATCAAACTGGTAGCAATATATCTCCCTACTGAGATGCAACTATGACAACTTTACCCCCTATTGCTGGAAATATTCACATTCTTTAGTTATTGGTATTTCTGTATACAGTCAACCGGTAAGCTGTAGCTAACTGAAACTGGTAAACGAAAAATGAGTAGAAATATAATTATACACCATCTAACAGATAAATGAATGATACCCTGTTCTCAGGGAAATACCCAAAATAGGATTGAACTGAACACAATTCCTATGCACATAGTACAAAAATAACTGAATTGAATATCTACTGTTCTGTAGTTAACGGGATATAGTCTATTTTCCCGGTTACTATAAAGCCCCTTCCATATTATGAACAATCCAAAGCCTCCATTCACTTGTTCCACATTTCTTGTTTTAAAAATTCATCCCGAACTCGTGACAGCGTGAATCAGCTGACAAAAATAATTCTGACCAGGCTGTCCTGCACGAAGTCCTGAGTGTATTTTCGAAGAAAACACGAGTTCATGAGCAAGGGTTTCCTGTTTAACGCGCGATACATTTCTAAACGAGAAAAAACGGTATCTTATATATTTATTTTTAATTTATAGCGATTTAACTGCAGTAATAAACTGTCATAATTCAGGCAACTAAAATAGACAACTAAAGAGGACTTCTAATTTGAGAGCGCTCACTAATCAATATTTTTTATGTTTTTATATAGTTTTTAGCTCGTTGGTGACAAGCAAATATTTGCTATCATCAGATACAATTTTAATAGCTGATAAATAAAAATACCGTTTTCCTGGGTTTTAGCAACGGTAACGCTGTTTTGATTGCACTTCAGACTCCAGCACAGCAGGTGGCGGTGCTTGCTAACGACGGAGGTTCTAAATTACGTGCCCATGCGTCACAGGAAAATATGGAAACATGTGGTAATGCGTACGGAGCTGCTATGGAGAATATACCTGCAGATGTGAAGGCTTTCCTTCGGGAACACCCGTTTTTAGTGGTTACAGAAGCTAAAAAGGTTCGTGCAACAACAGTGATTTACTCTTTGTACTATGTAACGATTGCCATCTGCTCATGTCTCAAATTACAGAAGAACGCTATTACTCTGACTGTCCACTGGTGATGCCTGAAGCGACCTGAGTTTTCTGCCACACTTTTTACATGATTCCCAAATAACTGCAGCAATCATTCTTTGAATTGTCAAATTTAACAGATTTTTCCCCTGTGATATCGAAATCTTTTCTTTTGACGGTGCCATGTGTACTTCTTTATTTCCTCAGATAAAATGTACCCTTAATGGTCACGAAATCCCCCTAAATCTAACAGAGCTCCAGAAATTTGCCTCCGGAAAGAAGTACGAAAAGCTCTGCGCTCGGGCAAATTTTAACTACAGCGAATATGAGCCACATGTGGTGCCTAGCACCAAGCAACCGTGAGTACGCTTTGACAAACAGGGTGTCCTGTATATCGTGACTGACTCAGATATGCATTTTTATTTATGACCAGGACGATATAACTAAATGTGTATAGCATTTGCGTTTATTGTTTGAATTTGTTCTAAAATGAACTTTTGTCCCATTCACAGCAATCAGCTCTTCTGCAAGTTGACTCTCCGCCATATCGGTCGGATGCCCCACCATGTTTTGAGGCACGTCAACGGGAAGCGGTACCAACGGGCTCTGCGGAAATGTCAGTATGGTCTTCTGCTCTCTATCCCAGAGAAACCTGCTCCCCGTCCCATTACAAAGCTTACACTATTCCCGTTATTGTAGGCCACATTGTGTTTGGACAGTGTTTTTTTTTTTTTTTGAAAAAGTTGTCAAGTACAAGGCAACCAATTACAATAAAAGTATAATTTTAACTGTAATTCACTGAAGAGGACATGTGCAAAGACTGTACCCTGTGGGGGTCCTCTTATTCTGTTCTTTAATTGTGGCTGAACATTTAAATTTTGTATTTCCATGCCTCTGTTTAGAGTAAATGATGAAGGTATTCCCCTAAGAAAAACAAGGTAATTGAAGTTGTACATCACTTTAAATTTAAAACGGACAATAAAAAAAATATTTTTTCAATTAAAATGGTGCAGTCTTTGTCCAGTTATAATTACATGCACAAAGCTTGTTTTTTTTCCAGTTTGGAATGTACCAACTAAACCTACCCCCTTTTCTAGATAATGAATGCAAGGAAAAAGGTATAGAATTTGTGCCTGCAAGCCTGCAACACAAGAAGCCTAAAGGAGGCCGAAGAGAAGGCAGGCAGGCCAGCTCTAGGCGAGGGAATGAGGTGTGGGCACCCAGTTCCAGTGAAGAAGATGGCAGCGAATCAGAGGACAGCATGAGTGACCTCTATCCTGGTCAGTACCAGAGTTACAGGGAACTCTATGAAATGCAGTATTGATCATGCACTACATATCTGATAATTCAAATGCATGATATAAGAACAGTAAAAAGTTAATGTACACCTGTTACGGCGACTTCATTCCGGTGCTTTGTGTGTCTACAGCGTCCATGTTCACCTTGAAAAAGCAGTCTGAAGTGGAACGGGATGGCTATGATGACTTTCAGACGGTTGATGAGGATGAAGAGGCTTCGCCAATGGAGATAGACAAAGCAGTGTCAGAGAAGCGAAGGAAGGTCAGCCTCTTTGGATCATGCTTATTGGTCATTTTTGTTTGGGGATGGGAGGAGCTTATGATCCGGACAGCTGGTTTGTTTTGAGTTTTTTTTAACAATCTTAATTTATGCTAGTTATTATTGATGTATTGATCCTAAGAGAAATGCACTTACTGGGATTATGAATGGCAATTTAAATAGTGGCTATAGGAATGGAGCATGTGACTCAGAACTAGCCAGCTTAAAGGCTTTGTTTTCTTTGCTACAGGGACAGGCTTCGGGTTTTAAGAAGAAATTCAAGAGTCGCAACAAGAAACGAAACCGCAACAATAAAATTGCTTGAGTTTAAAAAAAAAAAAAAGCTTGTTATTTTTCTAATAAACTAATATAATTTATCACTGAAGTTGGATATTAGTGTAAGCTGGACATATACAATGAAAAATGATTAGTGCATCAGAGTGTCATAATGCATGTATTTTAGTCCACATAGATCCAGTAGGCCACTCTGGAAAATAACTTCATAAGTCAGGTTGATGGGTTTGCTCCCCTTTCTCCTGAACTCCGGAGACTGGCTGTACCTTTAGTGTGTGAGTGAGTGTATGTGCCTTGATGGATTCTCTGGAAGAAATTTCACCATACGTAGGGCATACTGTACCCAGCGATCAGAGTAGCGTTGCTCGTCTGTTAGTACTCCTTTGCGGTAGGCGGCGATATGAACCAACATCAATGCATCAATCGTCTTTAGGAACTCTGGGTGTTTCATAGATTTTATGCAGGAACTAGAGTGGAAACAATGGAACTGTCCTTCACTCAGGTAAAAGACGATAATCAAGATTTTTCTTTAATCAACTTAATAGGAATAATACCTTTTCTACTTTGCATGAATTTTCTTACTAGGTAGTATTGCATTATTATTGTGAAATCGAAAATGTTACAGCTTCTTTGAGGTGTGTTTAGTGTAATAAGTGAAATATATTTATTTAATAACCATTTTTAGGAAAAGCTTAGGACGTAAGCTTCTTCGCTTTAGCTGTGCTTATTAAAGGGTAGAAATCCTCCTCTTAAATTCAGTAAGATTACTTTTAAAAACTATTATTTCAGCCGAGCTACTCTTGCTGCCGATCTAGTTCTTTTGGGATTTCTACGCTGTCGTGGAGCCACCAGGAAATGCGAAGTGCGAATTGAACGCTGCGGACAGGAGGCGGAGGACGCGACCGGGACGAATAAACCAAGTGATACAGAGAGAACATAAATAATAAAGTCTAATAAAGGTAAGATCGTATGTAATCACCCTGGATTTGTACCGTGAAGGGATCGTTAACACCGCGACATGGAACGACAAACCAACAGCAGCATGCTTTACTATAGTAGACTTTGTGTTTTGCAATCAGTTGGTATTAAGAGGCAAGAGCACAAAGGGACCGTTTCATTTTAATACCCGTTTTGATTAAGTACCCATATATGTGAAATCAACAATGCGTGAATATCTGTATTACTATTCTGATAAGAAAAAAAAAGTTCTTGCTAGCTCTATAATTTAATGGTGCATTATACATAATTAACGAATCCTATGATGCATAAACAGAACGTGAATTGCCTGCGTCGTGTAATCAGAAGAAATAATCAGCTGAAATTCTGGTTTTAGGCTGCATGGACCTTTAATTTCTTCTCCGCGTTTGGCTGGATATTAAATGAATTATTATGAATAAAATATATATGCAACCTTGTTACCGATGATTATAAGCCAACGTAATCTCCTTCCAACAGAGAATGAAAACGCATGGAATTTTCCAGCGCAACGCTTGTTTTCAATTTGTTGCGTTTGCGTTTGTTCACAACGGTTTACTTTAATTGCTCATAGACTTATTTGCTGACGGTAGTAATAAATTGAATTGGAATGACCGTTTGTAGATTAAAAGACATGATACGCTCGATTCCACCCTTGAGTTTATATATTTTTATGTATATATAGATAGATAGATAGATAGATAGACAGAGAGAGAGAGATATGCAGTAATGTCAAGATTTCTTTAATGTTCAACACTACCCGCTTCAGACAGTGTAACAAAGTTCCGGCCAGTAACGCAGCCTGAATTGTAACAATGTTAAGGGATTGAGATGAAAAAGAACCTGCTTCGCAAATATGTGCAGCTTCGTTATGTAGTGTCGTGTTTTGGAAAAAATATTAGCACATTCACTTGTCCTGCTATCACAGAGATGCTCAGCAGAGGGCAGGTAAGACCCTTCCATCCATCCATCAATCCACTTTCTGTACCTGCTTGTATAGCCCTTTGAAAAATATGCCTTGGCATTGGTTCGGAGTCGTATTATCACACTGATAATCAGTGAGTTTTATTCGGTCTGCGAAGCTGAAGTACAGTGTTTTCATGTGGTTAACTTCTATTCTCAAGCTTTGCTCATCTCCAGTACCCACTTCTAGTGTTGTGATTTTGTGAGCCTTGGGAACCCTAGTGCTAAACTCACGGACTTGTGTCTACATAGCTCTTTGTTATGCTTCACCATGGTCTTGCCTTTCCTTAGTATGAGACACAGCCTGCTTCCCACCGGAGATGGGACAGGCGCAGGGTGTATCCTAAGAGAAGACAGTTGGATGCTCAGTACACAGTCAAAATTAACAAATCAGAAGCACTGAGCTGCTCCCACGCTCAGGGTGAAGAGTCAAGCTGGTGGTTGCTTGTTTGCTCAGGATTTCGCTGAGAAATTCCCGGGTTTCAAAGTTTTCATATGGCCACAGGTACTTGGTACAATGAAATTATTTCAGAATAATCATTGTGGAACCAGGTTCAGATGAAATAGTCTGAACTCATGTTTGTGAGGTTTTTGTGTGGTTTTACTGGTATAATCATATTAAAAGATTAACTGAATTCTAACTGAATCTTGCATTTGTTCCTGGAGTGAGATGGTAGTATGAATGAATATCTAGGTATATGGAAAATATGAAGTCTTGTGATTTGATGTTCATTATCAGACACCATTTCAAAGCAGTTCTTGCCATTTTCTTGTAGGATAAACTGCAATCTCTACTCTGTCTGGTAGCCCCAAACCGAAGGCAACCCAAGAGTGACTCCTAAGACCAGGTCGCCATCCTCGGCACGGCATGGCGACCTCCTCCCCAAAGTTCACATGGTGCCCTTGCCATAAGCACAAGATCCCATCCAAAGACACTCATGAACGCTGCTTGCACTGCCTGGGCATACAGCATGCCAAGGAGGCCGTGCTGGAATACGGCAAGTGCCCACACTGCGCCATGATGGACTGGAGCACATGCATCAACCGGCTCACCAAGGTGCAAGAGTTATTGCACCGTGAGAACCAGCAGAAGAAATGCCAAGCTGCCCAATCGGGGTCCAAGCCGGAGACCACCCCAGCCACCCTCAGCGAATCAAAAATCATGAAAGAACCTGTCCCAGTCTTGCCCCATTTGGCGCCTCTACCAGCTACAACCGTGCAGTCCTCCACTCTTCCAGTGATGCTTACCATCCTGTCCCCTCCCACCTTACAAGCTGAATCCAATCCCACTGTCCATAAAAGTGCCCATGTGTCTCCGCTGGCCAATCAGCAGTCTGCTGACCAGCCCCTTCCTCTGGGCCAGTCCAGCTCTCTTGCTGGAACGCACCGCTCCCGCAAACGGAAGCACTCCTCCACGTGCCACTCGCGCCGATCCAAGTATTCGAAGCGGAGTCGCAGGCGTTGCCGCAGACGATCACCCTCCTCCTCCTCCTCTTCCTCCTCCTCCTCGTTCAGCTCGTCGTGTTGGAGCTCCTCGGATGCCTCGTTCCAAGAGGTGAGGTCACGGAAAGCTCCCCGGACAGAGTCCAAGGTCAGGCGGCTACTGGGGATGGTGCAGCAGAAGCTGGAAGCCCAGCAGCAGGCCGCTGAGGCACAGTGGACCCTCCTGGAGAAGCGTATTGAGGCTCTGGAGACCAGGGCCACTGAGCCAGCACCGCTACTCCCTACCACCACCCCTCAGTCAGTATCTGAATCCCCTCCAACAATCGAGGGGCGGGGGGACGAGCCAGAGGAGCGGCATGACGTGCGTGCAGTGGGACCAGCCGTGGAACCAGTCCTTCACACTGTGGTGAAACAGGAGGAGGAACCTGCTTCCATCTCGACTGGCTGGAAGGCGGAGGGCCCCACTGGGGATGCAGGTGTGTCCCACCTACCTGAGGAACCCATCTCTAGGCAGGATGTTCTCGCAGCTGCCGAGCTTCAGGCTCTCATCGCCCGTGCCGCCAAGTACCTCAGCATCGAGTTCCCTGGCACACAGGCCAACCCTACCTCCCCGTGTCCCACCATGGTTCCCGAGTTCGAGAGCCTGGTCCAGAGCACGTGGTCCAACCCTGCCAGCTCGCGGCCCTTCAGGGAGCTGTTCTGCAAGATGTACCGGCTGCACGAGCACCAAGCCCCAGCTTACGACCGCATGCCCCAAGTCGGACGTTTCATGGCAGCCATCTTCCAGGCCGTGGAACCCACGGAAAACAGGGAGCCGACGCTGCCAGCCAAGCGCTGGAGCTTCACTGAGACCCAGGCAGAGAGCATGTATCAGACTGCTGGAATGCTGGTCAGGACTGCCAACTATCTGCGATACCTCTCGGACTACCAGCAGAACCTCTTGCAGGAAGTCTCTGAGGATGCTCCCTCCGAGCGACTCGTGACCATCCTCAACGAGCTGAAGCTGATTGGTCAGTTTGCCTTCCAGCTGTCCTCCCACCAGGCTGAGCTCTCTGGCAGGGTTATGGCGGGGTCGGTAGCCATCCGGAGGCAGGTCTGGATGGCCAAGACCAACTACACTGATTCCCTGAAAGCGACAGTAGCGGACCTTCCCTACGTGGTCTGTCAGACCGTGGAGGTCGGTACAGGCACCACATCCACTGAGGACCGATGCAAACAGGAAGCACCATGTGCACCTCAGAGCACATGAAAAAATCTTGATGCGGGGGGGGGGGGTCAAAATTACAACTGAATTCAGCAATTCTGTTAAACACTAATGTTACATTACTTTTGTAACTGGCTGTACTTTTACATTTAGTTTTTGGATGTCCTGTCTAAGTTTACCAGCCTTCAGAAAAGGCAGTTGGTTTAAAATTGACAAAAGATTGAAATCTTTTGAATGTGTACATGTACATCTGCGGCAGTTTATGTAGTTACAGAAATACAGCATACCTCTGATTATTGCTAAACAGCACTCTGGTGTCAACTCCTGTTATTTAAAGACAAATGGATGTTTTTTTTGTATTTATAATGAAGGGCTGTGAGGATACTGGAATGACCATTCTGAAAAAGGTGATGTCATTCTAAGTTGTTGATTGTGGGTTAAATCTATGTTTATGGCCCTCATTGGCTAACACAGTCCAACAAAAGATGTTCTCAGGTTGAATGTTTCCTTTGGTTACTGAAAACTCTTCTGTGATTCATGTTTGACTCTTAAGTGGTACCACTTGCTCCTGCTGGACTCCTAATTGGAGAACCTCCAATATTTTGTGTTCAATAAATTGTGCATTTTTATACTTTATGTATATATAAACTCATCATAAAAGTACAGAAAGGTGGAATCCATGACATTTAATTTACAGATCACCATCAACAGCCTGCTTCATGTGGCCCACTGTGTGCCAGTCAGAAGGTGTGAACTTGCTTGTTATGGGGGGGGGGGGGGGGGGGAGGTCTATGACATTCGGGCTAAATGGGGGCAATAGCTTGGGGGGGGTGTGTGTGAATGTGTGCCCACTGATGCTTTTTGCTGTACAGTTTAATAATGGCTTAAGCATATCTTTGACCATTAGTTTTGCACCGATAGTGAAAACAACGAAAGCTTCGACATAAGAATTCGCGTATACAAGTCAGTAGAACGTACAATATCGGCCACCAAAAAAATAAATAATTAATGGATAATAATGTGTCAGTATCGAGGAAAGGTGAATTCAATGTCATGGTAAATAGCATATTAATGGTTGTCATATTTTCATATTCATATGTACCTGGCTCGTGTCTATTGGCTAATCTACGACATTGACGACGAAGTCCAGCAAACCTTCCCCTGCTGCCAACATGCATTTCACCAAAATGAAAACATACGGACCTTAACATAGAAATCCTGGTAAGCTAATGGTAGAAAAAGCTGTGTGCGATGGCATCTTAAATTGCAAAGCTTTTTGCTTCTGTAATAGAGACGAGTTTATTATTAATTTTAAAAATCACGGTAGAAACAATACTATATATAAAAACAATTTGGAATGAAAATCAGGCAAAACAAAGGACAGTCGTCACTTAGTATTTTTACTGTCCTGCTTTAACCCTATAATACTGTTTTTACGTATTTGAAAAACATGAAATATAAAGAAAGAACGATATTTGGCTTCAAATGATATTACCTTTTACAAATATAGTTTATCGATTATATTCAAATGATGTGGTAATTATGTTAGAGTGTCTTAATCGCATTGATTTGGTTTTCTTTTCGTTTCGTGGCCCCTGGCTGTATTATGGGATATAAATCTGCCGCTGTCAGCCGACCGCCGATTTATTAACGCCTTCAGCGGAGACGGAGAGACACGCAGCCGATGCCCAGCCATGGGGGGCGACCCTTCTGGCTCGGTACACGTGGCAAACGGCAGCCGCGAGACGCGGGGCTGTGGGCGCGGAGCATTGTGGGACGGAGGCGGCCTTTCCAGCGGAGACAGTCCGAGATCCGGAGACTAAATACTGGTACTGGGGCGGGGAGGCGGGGGTGAAGAGTCCAGAGAGACGCCGCACAGGGTGGAAGCGTGACGCCGACTGCAAGCGATGGGGCAGGACGTTTTAATGAGCGCCGCCGAAGACGTGGCCGACCAGGTAAAGGCGTGAGGGGTCTGACGGGCTGCTGAGGGGGGAGACGGGAGCGGGAGTGTGGCAAGGGCTCGGGAAGCCGGTACAGGGGTGGCCGCGGCTGGGGGTGATTAACCGGGCCTTCGCGGGAGACCCGTACTGCCCAGCTGGCGTCTGTCCGCCCCTGAGCACTACGCTCACTCAGCTGGGCGCCGGGCAACGCAGCCTGCTGCTCGGCAAGCTTTAAGTTAATTTCATTGCGCCTTTTTGTTTGAATTTGACACTTGTTGTGGGGCGATTTCTAATTAAAATAAATCGGCAGCTAGCTGTAAAAATCCTGTTACCTGTTGAGTAAAATATTAACATGGCTGGCAGCTTTACAGACCTGACTCGTAATCTGAAGATTTGTGCTAGATGGGTAAATAACTGGTAATCCTATCAATGTCCTTGTCCCCTAACCAGCATGCTTAGCAGAACCGCTACTTGGGGGGTGAAAAGTTTGTTAGTCCAGAGACTGATTGGGCTTCTTAGTTAACCCGAAAATATTTTTTTTTTCGTCGTGCCTAATGGAAACTTAACTAGGTAACCGGTTATTTGCCTTAAAAATTATCGAATGCACTGCTAACAGTGACAGTTCAACCAGATGTCTGTCTGTGTTGCGAAGTACAGATAGTTCAGATCGACAATCAGCAAGATTCCTTTTCCTCTCAAAAAAAAATGACCTCTTACTTCAGGGGGACTTGCATAACTTCCTTGCTGACAAACCTCTGACATTGAGCTTTAAAGTCCAGTACCTCAAGAAAATGCTGTTTGGGAAATTTTATTGTCACAGACTTGTTTTGTGTACACAATGTCCATATAGAGGCAAATCGAGAGTGCAATGAAACAAAGTAATTGGCAGGTATTGGTGTAATTGTTAAATAATCTATCTCATTCCAAGATTTGTGTTAATCCAGTGATTGCTCCATGCTCACACAAAGATTTTTTAAAATCCTTGATACCTTTCTGCATTGACAGCATTGACTTCTCAGGCATTTGGTATAGAGCTAATTTACACGTCAACAATATGTTGACATCATATTCCCAGCAGTATGGGTCTTGTGTGTGTTTGAAGCCCTGGAGAACCTCTTCATGAAGAACCTCTTTCTAATGCCACAGGTGGTACTATCAAAGGTCACGCCTTTCCCAGCATTACCAGCCCAGTTTTTAGTCACCATGGCCCTGTGATTAAATTAAGTATAATGCTAAGTTTTCTCTCAATCCTTCCATGGGGGGAAAAATACAGCCAGTATGTAAAAGATCTGACACATGTTCAGTCCCCTGTGTTTTGGATCAGCTGTGCCTCTCTGGACGTAACTGGATCCCTTCTACACTTTTCCTGCTCTATATGGGGACAGAGGTCATATATTTCAGTTCAGGTTACCCTCCCAAGTGCATAGATAAGATTGTGTGCAAAAACTCGGAAGCCCATACCGTTGTGTATGAATGAAGATCTTAATCTTCCTGCTGTAGATTTTGGGGCTCCCGCTGTGATGTAATCGCAGACCCCTGCCCTACCTCACCTGCGGTTATTGACTTATTGCCATCAAGGGAGGAAAGTCCGCAGTGTTGTGAAGGCACAGTCCAGGGATGGCCTGTTTCTGTTTACCTTCTCTGCCCACCCTTGTTTGTCTTGGTTTAGAAGCAAATGAGGCACATTGTTTCTATGGAGATGCTAAGCAGCATCGTAAAGTACATGTGCCTTTTTCATCTGGGAATCTGATCGCAACATTTTCACAACAGTTGTGTGGGATCCTTCAGTTTCTCTTCTTTCTCTGTGCTGTTGATATCAAACAGAGATTGAGACCTATCCTCTGCCCCTTTTCACCAGCCATATCTATTTTGTCCACTTCTGCTTCATGTAGAGATTTGTAAAATTATTTTGAGATTTTGGGAGCAGCACCGAAACAAAATGCTAAAAACAGGGGCTAATGTTGGTCATGACCAGAAGTGACATTTAAAAGATGGATGTACTTGTATGGTTATTGTAACAGTATACAGCTAAGTTCAATCCAATTCATTTTCATATAGTGCCTTTCAAAATAGTGTCGCCCCAAGTTACATTACATGGGTGTGTTCATCAAAAATTCTGAAAACTGTTTATAAGATTAAAAGCTTGATAAGAAGAAGATGCCTTTCTTATGAAGGGGGAGGTGGGGCTTAGGGCGAAGGTTAATCAAACTTTGTCACAGACTAGTAAACAAAAGTAGTGATATATCCTTCCTCAGATCCACATAAACAAAGAGAAAAAGCAAACTTGCTTTAAAATGTAATTCAATATCCTTAGACCTGACATTTCATGGAATGCTGTGAATGAATGAAAATGAGCATGTTGATGAACTACGACTGGATCTATGATAGGGCACGCTAACTTTTATGAACACATGCACAAACTTGCAGCAGCTCCTCAGGTGCACTCTAATTGGTCTCCTGCAATCCTATTCACATGCAGTTTCTTGAGCTCTGATTGGCTGCCAAGGCTTGGAAATGATGATGTGGTGGATTTGGTGGGAGGGGCCAGTTCCAAATGAAGCTTTTTGTGGAGGACTAGTTTGAGTTAATCTGTCAGCTGGGTTGGTAGTTCTATCCCAGCTAACCACTATTCTTAAAACGGTTTGTCAAAACTTGCTCAGTGTTTCCCTCAGAAAATGTTCTTGACCTAAATATCAGGGAATGATGAGTTTGGATCTGAAACAGCAGAAAATAAATTAGATTTAAATTTAGATTAGGCCTGCTTTAAATACAGCATATGATCTGGGCCAAGCACAAAATTGTACTTTTGTCATACCTTCTTATGCGTGGCTACCATTTTTAGTGTGTGTCAACTCTATAGTTGCACTTGTAATTAATGTAACTTCCATATGTGCTGTCATTCTTCCACACCATGGTTGCATTCTCCCCTGATGCCATGGAACCGGCTCTGGGTGTCAGTTGGAAGAATAGTTGCTTACACACCACAGGAACTTTTTTCCAGAACTAGGACTTTTTTTCTGGAACCAACTTCCGCCTTGTTCCCGCTGCAGGATCTCAGTCCAATTGTAGTTTGTTGTACGTAGTTCCAGAACATATTTTTGGTTCCTACTCTGGATTAAGTATTTTTCATTCAAACACAAACTACTGGGATGGGGCTTATAGCGATTAACATGCTGATTGGTTGACCGAGAGCACCGGCGCTAACTTGGAAGTTACACAGTAGTGCGGCGAAAAGGGATAGAAGTAGTGTAGCAAAAATTGTGCAGATGGAATTATTTTTGTACCTTGATTACATTTAATGCATTAATGATTATCTTTTTGCTTGCATCTCCATATTTCTGCATCAGAAAGTTTTATCAGTACTCAATATACTTTCGTCCAATATTGCTGGTGCAAGCAGTGAAACTTGCCAGTGCTTATTAGCGAATAATGTTGTGTCGTTTTTTTATACTGTGGAAAATGACAAATCGATCTGCTGGCCAGATTTAATAATGAATTATAAGCATGTTGCGGGTCGTATAAATAAAATGCTGTGTCCTGTTTTGAACCGATTTGGGACGCACGATTTATTCCTCCCAATAACTAACAAAACGACTTGTCGTTAAATATCATAAATGTTATAGTTCCTTTTGCAACCCTCAAGAGTGGCCTGGAGCTACGAAAGTTCCCAGTTGAGACGGCCCAGGAGCTGTGTTGAGTGGGAATGCACTGAATGATGGGTAGGTTAACGACTTAAGTCTGGGTTCTCAAGTTTATCTCTTAATTGGACCCCCTCTTTTTTTTTTTCCCATCGCCCAGGTTCCACCAGCAGCACAGCTGATTGCTGTTGGAGGGCTTTGATGATTAATCAGTTAAATTTGATGGCCTGGTCATGGCAGATATTGACGTGATCTACTTAAGATGGTGCTCGGAACCCCAGTACACAGGAGTATTCCAAGTGACCCAAAAACAAGGCTTCTTATGGAAAGTGCCTCCTGAGGCAGCCCCGGTGTGGACAGACACCCATGCGTATCCTAGCAACAGTCCATTAAAACTCTCCCAAGGTTTTTGGTCATAAATGGCTCGAAAAGAATTAGGCGCTGCCCGTCTGTCCTCCACTGTCCCACATAAGTGCTTCATTACGATGTGATGCACCTTCATGCAGTACATCTCAGAGAGGTTCTTTGTTGGATTTGGAATTATCTGTAGGACATTATTTCTGATCTCGCAATTTAAATGCAGTCCTGAGCTGCATATTGACATTTTGGTCAACGATGGACCGCATCTATGACACTGGTCTTGGTCTCATCAGATTGTAGTGGAGCTGAAAAATCCCTGTTGCCTAGCGACGTTGTAGCCTCAACATAGTGCCGTGGATTCCTCACGTTTGTGGAGATGCAGGTGTAAACAAACCTACTGCGCTGCCAGTCTTATAAAAGTATAGCACGAATGTTTATGGTACAGTGCATAATACTTGATAATGATAACTATCACTGGTTTATGCATGTACTATACTGTACTTTGAGTATACTCTTGCACAATGACAAAATCACCTAACAACTCATATCTCAGAATGTATCTCCTTCATTAAGTGGTGCATGACTGTGATTTTCTTAATGGCTACATTTCATCTTTTAGCTTTGCAAAAGTTCATATGCTCTTAGCAGCAGTGTCCTCGAAGTGTTGTTTTTTTTGTGCCTCGTCTGTCCTTCACTGGTTGATGTAACGGTTTTAAAATGAGAACATCTAGGACCCTTCTTAGGTATTTGCCATTGAATCCATTGCTTTATCAAAGCTAGTTCTGACAGATTAGATGCATCATGCAAGTTGGGCATTCATTAAGATTTCTCTCTGATAATGACATGTGGTCTATCTGAGCAAAGTGCTGCGTTTCCTCAGCAACCAAAAAGCCTTGACAGCAAATGAACTCTCAAATCACTCGCTCTGAGGCCGCGCACTGTGAACAGTCACTGGGTACCTTTCAACCCTGATCGCTTGTCCCACGCCGGTCACGTCTGATCCGAATCCAGCATCAAACTCGCATGCACGATTCTGTGATGATTCGTTTGGTTTAGGCTCATTCGTATCAATGTCAAGGTTGAGGTTCTGAATTTAAGTGCCTTTGGCAGGAAGTGCCAGAAACATTTACATTACATTTACGGTACCAAGGCCATGCAGAGACGTTTAAAGGGGCGGGTGCTCAAAGTTAAAAAAGATAGAACAGGCTGAATAACAACTCACATTCATGACGAATCTAATATGGAATTATGTGGATATATCCATATTAGATAGTTTTAGTGAAATAAAAGCCCTCCAGAAAAGAAGGGAAAAGTCCTGTAACTTACTTTAAAACATAACATGTTCCCTAAAACGGTGGACAGAGCTACAGACCGCCTTGTAACACCCTTACTGAGTTAGCTAGCAGTTAATGACCACCACTACTTGTGCAGTTCATAAAAGGACAGGTAATGTTTGTCGCGCTGTTGCACAAACAGCACGCTCATTTATTTCAAATCATTTGTTGTTATAGACTATAGTGTGCGCTGTACACCCTATTTACTGTTTTGTTGCAGTCTGCACCTTCCAATTAATTTGCCTGCTTCTCCTCCAGCTCCGCATCACCCAGCCTGCAGAAAATGCGCGTGCACTTTGCGAGCTCGTACCCGGCTCGTAACGACCGCGCTCTGCCCTCAAGGGCGAGCATTGGTTAATGGCAGTCATGTGACTGATGCAAGCCAGATCCTTTTATTTAGCAAAATTGAGATTAATAGTTACATTTTTTTGTTGAGGGGCAAAGACAGGGCTCCATACGCACATACACATTAAAAAAAAAAAAAAAAACAACAACAAAAAAAACCCAAGAAAAGTGCACTTGAGGCATCCTGGAGGAAAGGGGCGGGTGCTCAAGCACCCTCCGCCCCCCCCCTGCACGTGCCTGCCAGGTACAAGTGTAAGCAGTGTTGGAGCAGGAGCTCAGGAGCTCCACAAGCAAAGGTATCATAGCTTGGACTACCTTATCATGATTTCATATTTGTTCCCCATGGCTGCCTTTCACGTCTGAGTAACCTTGGTGTTCATCCATCTGTTCGTTAAGTCCTTGCGGGAACATTCTGTAAATGTCAGCAGACCATGGCAGGCAGGGCCTCACGCTAATGTCACCTGAGCAGTCTTCCCTTACAAGACTTGCTTATTGATGCTAATATCTGGGAGAAAAGCAAACGCAAGGGCAGCGAGAGAGCCTGAGCATCGCATGCAGAGAGCTCCTTTGTTAGGGGAAGAATGTCCTTTAGCTAACATGCAAATATATTAGGAGCAGCAAGGTGATGCACTGGTTAGCACTGTTGCCTCACACCACTGGGACCAGGGTTCGAGTCTCTGCCATGACTCAATATGTGTGGGTTTTGCATGCTTCCCCCCCCCCCCATATCGTTGTGGGGTTTCCTCCAGATACTCTGGTTTCCCCCCCACAGTCCCATGGGTTTTGCCTATAGGCGTCTGTGTGTGTGTGTGCCTTGCAATGGGTTGGTGCCCCATCCTGCCTTGCGCCTGCCTTGTTCCCTGCCTTCCGAAATGGTTGTGCTCCGGACCCCCCCATGACCCTGAGAAGGGCAAGCGGTAATAGAACATGGATGGATGAATGCCAAATGTATTAGTCTAAACTAGACTGATTTTACTAAAAGTGCCTGAGGTAAAAGGATAAAACGTTGGCCTAACATGCGAGTCTGGTTGTTGCATCGACTCCGGAAGCCGATTAATCAGATTTGAGCATCAAGCTTCCTGTCCTTTCAGTTCCTGCGTGTGACGAAGCAGTACCTGCCCCACCTGGCGCGCCTCTGCCTTATCAGTACCTTCCTGGAAGACGGCATCCGCATGTGGTTCCAGTGGAACGAGCAGAGAGACTACATCGAGAGCACCTGGAACTGCGGCTACTTTCTGGCCACGTGCTTCGTGCTCCTCAACCTCTTGGGCCAGCTAGGTGAGGTGGGGTCAAAAGATGGCTTGGGGAGAAAATTGCCCCAAAAAAAGCTCTCCTTCTCAAGTTGACAAGATGTTAGTTTGCTGTGGGGTATTAAACTAGTGGTCAAGGACATCTGGTTGTGGGTGTGAATCCCAGAAGATGCCCTGCTGTGGTACCTTTCAAGAAAATGCTTCACCTGCATCGCTCCAGATTCAGGAGCCCAGTTTCATAAATGTCATGGAAGCAGATTGTGCAATAAATGCATAGTTGTGGTTTCTGAGCTATGAGTTCAGGGTTGTTAGTCCTTTTATTAGTTCTTTTAACCTGTCCAATGGGGCCATACTATACAGCTGTTTTTAAGCCTCACTGTTCTGGCTTTGAGGCTGAAACTCCGACCAGATGGCAGTGGAGCAAAGAGGTTTTGGGTGCAGTGGCTCCTTCATCACCCTCTAGATACAGCAGCCTTTGTAGATGTCCGGCAGAGTGGTCCTAGCAATCTTCTCTGCTCTTTCATTAACCTGCTGGAAGGACTGGTGTGTTTCCTGGATCCAAACCAGTTTGCGAGGCACCACAGAGACTGTCCTCACTGTCTCTTTAGCAAAACCAATTTTTTGATGAAAGTACCAAAAAAAATTTGCTTTGAGTTTTGAGCCTTTTGCTCATAAATCCAGCTCTTTTAATAATATGACTCGAAGTGTTGCGTTGAGAACTGGCCAACATTAACAGGAAGTTGCATCTGGCTCTTCATTGCTGTGGCATTTGTGCATTAACCCTTGAGGGTGACGGTGAAACTGAGCTGAACCTTTCTCACTGACAGGTGGCTGCGTCCTGGTTCTCAGTAGGAATTTTGTACAGTATGCCTGCTTTGGGCTGTTTGGGATCATAGCTCTACAGGTAAGTCCAGACTTCAGTGCCCTGTATGCTTCCAGCCATTCTCCCCGTGTGTTTTTAGCTAAGAAAATAGTGTTTATTGTGTCATTTTTCTTCCTTAGACTGTTGCCTACAGCATTCTGTGGGACCTTAAATTCTTGATGAGGTGAGTTTTGTGATTCTTTTTCAGGGTGCGGAGAAGTTCTTCTTGATCCTACAGATAACTGCTTTTCTACAGCATGGAAACTAAGCTTCTTAAGACAAATATGAAATTAGGCTTTAACTACAGAGCAATTCCTTGCAAAGGTCCATTTGACATCTTCCATAACGCTGATAAAATGCTATGTATTTCTGACGTAAATTTAATATATAGATTTTTTGTATATTCGACCGAAGAGTTTGTATGAAAAGATATTCAAATTGACACACTGATGCTAAAAGTAGGTGATTTGGTCATTTTTATTGGGGGGGGGGGGGGAGTCACGCCCCTGACCACACACAACCAATCCACATACACATACAAGCAAACTGAACGCCTTCCAAACCACAGTTGCTGCATATCTAATTACATGAGGGGAAGAAAAGCCTACAACAATTGGAAATTTTAAATTATAACATATGGTCAAATTGTTTTTCCTCTTTGCCATTTTCTCCTCACACATTCAGCATATAAGCAGAGCTGCTGGCCTTAACTTGTGCCTCTCTCCCCTTCTTGCGTTGGGTCTCACCAACTCAGATCTCGCGGGAGCAGTCTTGTAGAAATCGCTGCACGTGGGGGAGTGCGGATGAAAAATTTGCAGGTCTGGGAATTTAGGTAGCACTAACTAGTGTTGGGCGGTATACCGGTTCATACCGAAAAACTTTTTTTATTATTGTTATGATATGAATTTTTCTTATACCGCAATATTGGTATAAATATCCTACACAATGTTCGGAAAGTGGCACAGCTGGAAACTGTTTAAGGGGGGAACTTTTTCACTGCTGCACCGCTTAAATTGTACCGCGAAAGATCAGAAACGGAAGATATAGCTGACGCTGGGGTTGTCAAAAAATCTGTTCTCAGATACTAATCGGTATTAAAAATTAGTATCTGATTAGATACTCATTTTCACCATTATTGATACCAACAGTGTGGTTTCCACCTCATTCGCCACACTTCACACAGCACCACTACAGCGCACACACGCACACACACTTGCGCAGCCCCTGCCCTCCTCTCAATAGCCGCTGAACGCTTTTGCGCTGGTTAACACACACACATACCGATTTGGCCGAACATGGCATATGCTGCAGTTGAAGGCACTTAGCAAGCTGCTTTAGTTAAAAAAAAAAAATAAGTGCCATTTGGAAGTATTTTGCAGACGAGCATGGAAAGGCTAAATGTGTCGATAAGCCTCTATGCAAACAGTGCTACAAAGTTGTGGCGACGAAGTCAAGTAGCACGTCAAACCTGGCGAAGTATCTTAAAGACCGACATCCCGGTCCTTATGAGAAATTTCGCAATGTCAGTAAAGCTCACGTTCCAGCAACACTGAAATCAAAAATGTTTCACTTGGCCGGCGCACACCTTAACATAGCCGTTTATTTATAAGCAGTTAGCCAACAAACACGTTAGCCGTATGTTATCATTAAGGTAGCGGATAATAATAAAATAATATAGTTAACGTGGGAACAATGCAAAAACGTTAAACAAAAACGCGTCTTGTAAAATGTGGTAATCGCCCAGCCATTCTTTAAAAAAAAATACCGTTGTATACCGTGACACCGATATAACTTTGAAAAATACCGTGATATACATTTTTGGTCATACCGCCCAGCTCTACCGCTAACCGCGAAGATGCTTACAATGCAGGCAGTGCTCCCTCTGCTGGGGAGTGTAGGGTGGGGCCAGGGTAACAAGGGGGATGCATTTTTAAAATTTAGCTAACATTTAGGGTGGCATCTCACCTCGAATCGCCTCCTTGATACTAAGCTTGTCCCTGCTCTGAGGCATTTTGTTTGTACATCCATAATGCTGGAAATGCCCTATACGCCATCCTTAACTAGTTGGTGTTCTGTGTCTGTTAAGTGCATTTCTTGTTTTCTGAGCCTTTTCTTTAAGGCCCGTCTGCACCCATCTTCTAACTCTATACCATGTTGCTCTTCAGGAACCTGGCCCTCGGTGGCGGGCTTCTACTGCTGCTCGCGGAGTCGCGTTCGGAGGGCAAGAGCATGTTTGCAGGGGTGCCCTCCATGGGCGAGAGCTCCCCCAAGCAGTACATGCAGCTGGGGGGCCGTGTGCTCCTGGTGCTCATGTTCATGACCTTGCTGCACTTAGACGCCAGCTTCTTCTCCGTAAGTACCTCCTACCCTCAAATACTAGAGCTTCGCTTACAGAAGGCAGGAACAATGAAGCATTGACAGTCACTTTGGGTGGGATTAGTGTGTGCTGTCAATCATCAGAACTGGTCTCTGATTGGCAGCACTTGCCCAATAATCCCACCCACTCGGGGCTTCCTACACTTCATTCTATTTTCTGCCACAGCTGATATTTTAAACTGTTATTTCTGTTTTATTTTTGTTTACCAATATATACTGAGTTTATTAGGTGCACCTGCTTTTTAACACACAGCTAGCTTCTCCAAACAGCGAATCATGCGTCTGCAACTGAATACGTGCAGCACGCAAGCGATTCAGTTACTTTGCAGCTGAGCGTTAGCATGGCTAAGACACGTGATCCCAGTTATTTTAAACGTGGAATGATTGCTGGCTACAGATCTCAGAAACAGCCACCATACTGGGATCTTGATGCACTGCAGTAGTTTAGGGAAAATGGTGAGATATTAATAATAAAAAAAAAAAAAAAAAACATCCAGTCAGTGGAGGTTCTGTGGCTTAAAAACACTGCATTAATTAGAGAGGATGGAGAGAACGGCCAGACTCGTTAAATGTAACGGGAGGCGTCAAGATAACCGCAGTGTTGTGTGGAAAGGCATCTCTGAACATATGGCTCATCAACACTTGAAGCAGATCTTGAGATAAGGGAATCCTACCTTGTACTTGATAAAATAACCTATTAAAGTGCAGACTGAGTTTATATAATTTCATTTGGGTGTGTCGGACAGACTGCATTACAAAGTGACCTTAATGAAGGTGTCTTTGGTGATGCAGTCTGTGTCTTGAGCATTCGCATTGACTGACGTGGACATGTGTCACTTTCAATTTCTCCTAATGCCTTTTAATCTTTCTAAAGAAGCGCCTACCTATGTCCACCCACCCCCCTCACACATCCCCAGATCCTACAGAACATGGTGGGTACGGCCCTGATTATCCTGGTGGCCATCGGCTTCAAGACCAAGTTGGCTGCCCTCACGCTGGTGGTGTGGCTCTTCGCCATCAACGTCTACTTCAACGCCTTCTGGACGGTGCCGGCCTACAGGCCTATGCACGACTTCCTCAAATACGACTTCTTCCAGACCACCTCCGTCATCGGGGGCCTGCTGCTGGTGGTGGCACTGGGGCCAGGAGGCGTGTCCATGGACGAGAAGAAGAAAGAGTGGTGAGCCAAATCCAGCCCTGCCTTCCTGGGGACAGCAGGACCTCTGCGTTCCATGAAGACTCCTCCCGGCATCGTTTGACCAGCTACTGTCCTTTTTTTTTTGTTTTTTTTTTTGTTTTTTTTTTAGTTTCAAGGTTTTCTTTATGCCTAATTTTTATTTGGTTTTATTAGATAAGGTTGTCCCAGCTTATATTTTTTTTAATACATTGAATTTGTGTGCAATTGTATATAATATATTCCTATACATATTTATATACATATACACACACTCACACAAACTCTGAGATGCCAAGAAAGACTTGTGTATCAGAACTAAGACTGAAGGTGTTCTTAGTGCACATCTCCAGGTGTCAATACTGATGATGGTACCCTCTACAGGATGCAGTGGACGAAGCAACTATAGACATTGAGTATACATTTCTGCAGTAGTCAGTAGAAACTTTCAGAGTTTCTGTAGAGGGAAAGTATACTTCTCTCTATACTCCTTCCTATATGTACTTGTTCTGCTGCTCATGTAAATCCTCTTTAAAACGAAGAACATTTGTTCTTGTGTGGTTGACAGGAGGATAGAAGGGTAGCAGATAGTAATGTGGGAATGTCTCTAATCACAAGGTACTCCTTTGCCCCGTGTGTGACAGAGATGTTCTCTGCCTTAGACAATGGGTCATCCACCCCACAATGTCATTTGCACCTATTCCCTCATAGTCCCAGCTTGTTCTCAAAGCTCCGCCCCTGTTTCCATAGCACCAGGCAATGAGGGAGGGGTTATGTGTAGTTGACTCATTTTGAAATGGTTAAACAAAACTTTATTGGCTTATGAGATGTGATTTTTTTTTTCCATTTACAATTGTAGCTTATTGTCAGCCATTATATAATCTTTCAAGAATTATACTGTCCTTTGTGTTTTTGAGTTTACAGTGTTTGAAATCAGCATCTACAGTCTACAGTGTCATGCAGAACAGGAGAGGTAGTATGTGGTCCTCTGAATTTTGTGTTTCTCAGTGTTTTTGCTCTGTATAACAGTTTAGATATGAAAAACGTAAGTATTTAGATTTTTCAAAAGCTTATTTTTTGCAAATGAGAAAAAAATCAAAATAAAAACGGCAAACCAGTGTGTTTCTTTCTCATTGATTTCTTGACCTGTTCCTCCAATCCCACTCGGCCTGTGTGTGAAGGCTTTTGGATACATCACATGATGCTCTGTTGGAGGTAAGTGAATGGAAGTCTTGTCAATCAAAGCAGTTGTATAAAAGACAGCCTCAACATGACTGAGCACTACGTAGAATATGGAGAGTGGCTGGTGATTATCTTGTAAGGGAGTCTGACTGAGGGTGGTGAGGGAGGTGTCGGCCCAGGTGCAGTGCCGCACCAATAACTGCGGAGTCAGTCTGACTTCAGTTGTTCTGACCCGGTGGGGGGTGCAGTATGATGGCTGTCTATGAGACATATATATGCATATAGATGAGTCACCAACGAATTCAAACATAGGCATATGGGTACATTCCCAGTCCAAAGCTTAGGGTACACAGAGATAACATTACCCTTCGAGAGAATAAATGAGATATACAAGAAATAAACACGGCGGCTTAACCAAGTTAGTTAAGTATAATGGCGGCGCCTTATGGTATGTAATGATATCCACAAACAGTGGGTACCTCCATGCTTCAGACGCTGTTAATGAACTATTCTCAGCAGTGTAAGGGATGACACTGCTTAACGTTAATCTATTAAGTAGAGCAAGGCTGCAGAATAATTAATGTAATAAACCCACCAGCTCGGTCCAATGCCAGCATCGCAGTATTATTAAAGTAATCTGGTGAGATTTGGGGTGAACTTCTTCAGGCTGGTGGTAAGGCTGGCCTCTTGGCATTGCAAGCAATCTTTGCTTCCATTTTGGAGATGAGTGTCATCCCAACTTACTGGAAAATGGAACTTGTCCATATCTGAAAAGGGAAGGGTGACCACCTGCATTGTGGCGACTACAGTCAGATAACTCTGCTCTCGGTGCAGGTAGGATCCTTACTAGGGTCATCCTCAATAGGATCTGTGATCACTTGCTTGCCTAACAGTAACCAGAGCAGTCTGGTTTATGCCTAAGAAGCATACCATCGACTGTATCCTGGCTCTGAGGGTTCTCGTCGAGCAGAAACATGAATATCATGTTTCTTTTGGCAATTTTCGTAAAGCATTCGACTCTCGGTTGATCAAGCTGCCCTGTGGGACATCCTGAGACTTTGTGGGATGCTTCTGAACTTGCTGGACATCATGGCCGGCTTGTACACTGGTACTGTGAATGCTGTGCGGAGTGAAGGGAGAACCTCTGTGTTCTTCCCAGTTGATTCTGGGGTTCGTCAGGGGTGTGTTCTTGCTCCTATTCTGTTCAATGCTTGCATGGACAGGATGTTGAGTAAGGTCATGGGGTCCAGCAGCTTTGGGGCATGTTGCTGAAGAAAGATTCACTGATCTTGACTTTGCCAACGATGCTGTGACCTTCGCAGAGTCAATGGAAGCTCTGATCTGGGCTCTTGAGCGAATGTGTGAAGTCTGAGTGTCTGTGCTTACAAATGTCCAGGATAAAAACCAGGGTCCAGGTCTTTAATGACCTCTGGGCACAGCCCTCAGCACTGTGTCTGTCTACGGAGGGAATGTCGACCGCGTCAAAGGTTCACTCAGCAGCGACATGTCTCTGGTGACTCTTCCTATGAAGTCCACAGACGTAGCTGGAGAACATGATGTCACTGAGAAGGGGTGTGTGGCTCTCAAAATATTTGTAAGAAGACAAAAGTCCAAGTCTTTAGAGTCCTGGTGTTCCAGGTGCTGTTTCTTGTAAGAACTTGTATGTCATGTATTTCTTGCCATCTATTGTTATATAATTTCCGCTTAATTAGTGAAAAGCAAAATATATCAAATAGAATGTACCGAAAGCGTTGCTGTTTCGGTACATTACACAACGCCATCTGGTGGAATGCACGCTTTATAGCAGGCAGCCTGGATGTGCAACAACACCACCTCATTGAATTAAAAAATTAGTTGTCTGTTAAGGAACTATACACATTTGGAGAAGCAAATAGGAAAGTGTGACTTCCAGGGCCCAATTGGTCAAACTATTTAATCTGGATAAATATTATGTGGATTTTGAAATCCCTTGTTTTGTGTCCAGGATCTGATAATTCATTTTACTTTTATGCTGTTTTTTCAAAGCAACACTAGATTGGATCACTTTTATCCAAATACAGAATTTTCAGGATTACCAAATCCGGTTTACTAGTGCTTTAAATGGAACCCACAGTTGTAAAGAACAACAGGCAAACCGAAAACACCAGTAGTCAAATAGCCATCGTGTTTTAAGAAAACACCACAATAAACAAACATTTTCCATTTCATTTTTAAACAGCCAGATTCCATTTCAATCTCACAAGAATAAATAAATTAATGACTGAAACAAAAAATAATAGTACTCGGAGACTGCAAGACATCAAACACTGTGCACTCTTTGAAATCGATCTTGTGCTGCCTTAAACGTTTGGTGAGGTTGGATGTACAGCCCTTCGAGCAACTTGTCAATTTTTTATCTCCCAGCACTAATAGCATAGTTATAATTCAATTAAACTAGGTATTTCACATTCATTAGAGAGCACGGTCTTGGAGGTGCAAGTCAATCTGGAGGCTCATTCTCTTCAATTCAAAGCAGAGGATCATTACATAGCCGTATTCATAGCTTACCCGAGGCCTCTCTCCCTGGTATAAGAGACTTAATATGAACATCTTTCTGGTACATCCCATCTCTTTCCCTTGACGAGGTCGGATAAAATGCTTATAGGAGAGGATTGCTGAGAATATTATTTTCCATCAGGCCTCGTAACTATGACAAATCTGGGAGATTTTAAATTAGTGGTGACGTTAGGCACGCACTATTTTTTTAAACAATTTGCAATTTTACATTAAATGAATAACTGAAGAACGTAACATCACGTAAAATAAATGTGTATTTGGGCTTAACTTTTTTTTTTTTTTTAACAAACCTAGCGAATCTCAACTAAAACAGGCAGATAACCACACCCGTCCTAGCAGATGCTATGTTTAAGAACCGATTTACAGATCCGAAATTGAAAAAACCGAGTGGGTACCCGGTACCGGGTATTTTCAAATTGGTTCTTATTTGGAACCTAATTTCGGTTCCCATCCCTTGTTGGGAAGGAGAAGATACCGTGAAAGAGTGTATGCTGAGCGTGCCAAACCACTTGCACAATACACTACAGAGGAACTGTATGTCTGTTTTCGCTTTGGGAGAGATGACATCAAGTATCATTGGAGACCTTATCAGGCCAAAGTTACAGCACAAAACCCAAAGGAATCATGCTCTGTCTGTGGAGGAACAGTGCATAATTACACTGCACTGTAATGCCTCTGGGACTGTCTACCAGGTTGTTGGTGACAATATGGGAGTGGACAAATCAACTGTTAGTAATGTGGTGAGAGCTGTCTCAGTTGAATTGGCCAGTCTGCTCAATGAATCTGTTTCATTTCCCAAGGATGACCAGATGGCACAAACTAAGCAAAGTTTCTTTCTTTTGGGGAACATGCCTAATACTATTGGTGTCATTGATTGTACTCATGTGCATATTCAAGCACCTCATGAAAGGGAGTGTGGCAGTATGTGAACAGAAAGGGGAGGCACAGATTCAGTATCCAACTTGTGGGCAACGTTGACTTCATCATCACAAACTGTGTTGTGAAGTGGCCAGGGTCTGTCTATGATGCACGTGTCCTGAGGGAGAGCGCACTGTACAGAGAGCTCCAGTCCAACCGACCAAATGGCATAATATTGGGAGACAGTGCTTATCCACTACTACCATGGCTGATGGCCCCTTTTCCAGTTGCAAACACACCTGAGCAGGCAGGCTTCAACTCTGCACATTACAAAACATGATGCGCAATTGAGCGCTTAAATGTCCTGAAGAGGCGCTTTGCATGCCTTAAAACTGTTAAAGGTGAGTATTATATTTCACAACAAATGGGTAATTCTTAACTGCTGTAAAATGACCAAGAAGTTTGTGTGTTATTTTTAAGTGCAGGCAATAAAGAGCACATGAATGAAACTGTGGCAAATTTGTCTTTATTTCATTTATCTTGGAGGTTGTGAGCAATTGCTATTGAAAATGGATATTTGCAATGATGCCCATGAGAACTCTGCCGTCTCTGACGGCTGCAGCATGGAGGGTTTGCTCTTCCTCTGGTTCAATATGTGCTGCAGCAGGATGGGACTCTTAGTTTACAAGTCAATCCTGTGTAAGTTTGTTGTACATTGTACAATCCCTATAAATCTCTGAGTGGTGGACAGAGCCTGGCCATTTGCTGGGACATTGAATGTCCTCTGTGTGATCCTGACGGTGGTCAGCCCTGATAAGGTACAACACACTGGCAAATACAGCTTTGAATTGGAATGAAGTGTTGATACTGCATAAACGGTGCCTGTTCACATGATCTCCTACTTCATTACAGTGATGGGAACATGAGTTCCATCTAAGAATTCAATGATATTAGTGAGTCCTGCAATATTTATACAATAATTGTCAGGTTCAACACAGTCAACACGTATAGTCCTTCAACACTTGCGTGTTCTCCTTGTTCCCTGGAACCCAGCATAGCTGAGTGGGTTGAGCATGTGGCTCAGAGACTTTTAACCCTCTGGTCATGGGTCTGTTATTAGTTTTTATTGGTTTTGTGTTTAATCCATGTTAGTTACATTCTACTTTGGTTTCCTGATCTTAAGCTTGCCCTGTGTCTAGTCAATTCTGCTCCTGTTTGTTCTTTAATTCTATGTTAATTGTTCTTGGTGTAGTACAATGTGGATCAGTGGATCATCACCCTCATTCCTCACCCTGCACCATGCCACACCACCGTGACAATAATACGTAAAAACACTGAAATGTGGTCTGACACCTGGTGACTGGAAATTGGAACCAGGTGGTTTTACTATCAAGGTGAGGCTGAGTGCTGGAAACCAGGGTTGGGCGTGGTGAAGTTTCCATAATAGAACAAAAACCTAATTCTTGTCATTCAACCGGACAACCAGACAAAGTTAGAAGATGGATGGATGGATGGATCAGATGGAAAATATTGGTTACATCAAAGGACATCACATTTCATAGTGTCCAGTGTAGGTTTCTCATTATTTCATTTAATAATAATTATGATAATTCATAATAATTTCAACTAAGTTAAGAATGAAAAATAATCATTCTTGGTTAAAACTATCACTCATTGTATGTAAATGAAACTTTACTGATCCCAGGGAAACATCCATCCATCCATCCATCCATTTACTTCCGCTTATCCGAGGTTGGGTCGCGGGGGCAGCAGTCTCAGCAGGGAAACCCAGACTTCCCTCTCCCCGGCCACTTCCTCCAGCTCCTCTGGGGGGATCCCGAGGCGTTCCCAGGCCAGCCGAGAGACATAGTCCCTCCAGCGTGTCCTGGGTCTTCCCCGGGGCCTCCTCCCAGTGGGACATGCCCGGAACACCTCACCAGGGAGGCGTCCAGGAGGCATCCTAATCAGATGCCCGAGCCACCTCATCTGGCTCCTCTCGATGCGGAGGAGCAGCGGCTCTACTCTGAGTCCCTCCCGAATGACCAAGCTCCTCACCCTATCTCTAAGGGAGAGCCCAGCCACCCTGCGGAGGAAACTCATTTCGGCAGCTTGCACTCGCGATCTCGTTCTTTCGGTCACTACCCAAAGCTCGTGACCATAGGTGAGGGTAGGAACGTAGATCGACCGGTAAATCGAGAGCTTTGCCTTTTGGCCACGACAGACCAATGCAGCGCCCCCGCATCACTGATCCCAGGGAAACATTATTGAATAAATCATGGCACCCGCTCCAGCTGCCACCATGGCTGAAAAAACGTCGCTAAAGGAAAATGCTGCTATTGGCTGCCCTTCACATGACGTAGTGATTTAGTGCCATTCAGAATGCCCTCCTGCATGTGAGTAACAGGGATATGAAACGGTACCGTTCGCGAAGATATTTGCCGGCGGATGGCAATGTCTAACCGGAGAATAAATTCCTCTTCTATGTCGACCATCTCTTGAAAAATGAGCGCGCCAAATCAAACTGTAGCACTGACCGCAGTCCTGCCCTGTAAACTCCAATTTTCTGTCAGCTAAACCCATGCATTGGTAAATTAAATTCAGAGCATTAGTTGCCATGGTGACTGAGTGAAGCTCAATCTAATCCCAAATTTTAGAATGGAGATTGATCAGGTTTATACTACTGGTGTGAGATTACGCACTAAACCCGCTTTCATTCCAGAAATGACCCCCTAGGAAGCAGTGCTGACTTTCCTCACGTTAGGCAGGGAAAGTCCCTGCTGCAGTGCTCTTCCTCCTGTGCCTGCTGGCTGTTATTACTCACTCAACAGGTTCCTCCGCTTCTAGTGCATTGCCGGCGAAATGGGCGGGCAGCTTCCCGTCAAGCTTGATTATTTACAATAATTATAACTGTTGTTAAAACTATCACTCATTGTATGTGTTTATGCAGTAAGCAAGGAATTTTAAGTCAACTATTTTAAACTAAATATTTCTGGTTGTTGGACTATATTTATGTTTATTTAATTTTGTATCAGTGATAAAGTATTCAAGCTGAAACTGAATATCAAGACTGGGAAAAAAATATATATGTCCTCATATCAAAACAACGTCTTGGTATCATGGTCACTGATGAATTAAGTGACAGGTAAGGGAGTGACATTCCAACAAGTCAACGGATCTTGTCGTTGTGCCGCTATAACAAAGGGTGTTTTTCCAGGTTATGTTTTTAAAAGCGACAGTCCGTGGATCCACAAATCACTCTGTTGAACACTGGAAAGATGCCTGAGATTAGACAACATGTGGACCGAGAACAGCGCCACATCATCATCCGGCGCGTGTAACAACCGCAATTAATGCGTGATCAGTCAGTAGCAGGGTTGCCACTTTCGGCCAGCTGGCTGTACTGAGATTTTCAAATTTTAAGTTCTTGCACGAGTGTGACAGTCTGAAAACGTGAGTGTCACATCAGATGCCTGAGAGTTGGCAATTCTGCAATAACCATAGGTGAACTCATAAAACTTCCACTATCAAGGTACTTTTAAGCTAAACATATGTGGTTTGTAGGCCTATACTTAATAATTCTACTTCATTACAAAGACTGCAATACAGTACCCTTTGGATCTCTAGGATAATGTATTACACTCACTGCAGTGAATGATTATAACCAAAGAATGCACTGACAACACCTTACGGGCAGCAACGCCCCACTGGCAAGGAAAAGACAAAACTTTTCCTTACTGCAACCTGTTGCCCAATTGCGAACTTGCTGAGGATCCAGCTGGTTGTCTCAAAGTCTGCTCTCTTCACTCATTTTATCCGCAGTGCAAATCGGCCTTGTAGCCATTCGTCAGGTGAAACTTCTGCAATTATATATATAAAAAAGAACTCTAAGGTAAGATATCACTTTTTAAATAACAGACTTTTGGATCTATATCTGTGAAGCATGTTAGAATACATTTTTATCCCCTGCCTGGTGTTATCTGTTTAGCTATTTATCAGTCATTGAGCACTGATATGTATCACGTGATAAGTGATGCAGGTTTTGTCCTCTGTTTTATCAGGTATCAGCTTTGGTATTAGTTATAAGAATAATCTGCTCTGTGATCCCATACCTAGTAAGCCAAAGTAAATGTGCTTTAATTAATAAGTCCAGATATTATCGACAAACATGTCTGTGGCAAAATGTTTTGATTAGGAAAAATAAAATTATGTAGGCTGTTTTTAAATACTAAGTCCAGGGCTGGACTGGTTATCTGGTATATGCCAGGTATTTCCCCGGTGAGCCGATGAATATGCAGGTAGTAAAATTTACCGTGTGGCCGAGGGAGACCCCAAATTCCAAGACCAAATTTTAATCCCAAGCAAGCACTGACGAAGTCTGTGGTAAAAAATGCATTTTGATCAAAATGTCCACTGGAATGTTCCATGCTGTCGACTCATTTAGAGTATTTTTGTACTCTAAATCAGTAAAGATTAATCTAAATTATGATGCCCGTGAGATTATTCCTGAGTGGTGAGGAAATAACAGACAAAAGGTTAGGGTGAGTCCAGTTCCATACAGGGTAATTCTAAATTTTTTTTTTTACGACAACAAAATGCTTCACATAAGAAAAGGAATGTTGCAATTCGCAGACAAAGAACAAGTCATACAATTTTATCCTCTGGCATCACAAGAAGACATTTATGATGTAATCTGAGTTGAAAATCTATGGAGAATACACATCTTTTGCTCTTTAAAATGCTTAAATATACCATTGATCATATCAGTAGGCATTGCTAGTGTTTGTAATAAGTATGAGACCTTCCTACCCCTAGCAATTTGATTAGTTCTTTTTACCCATGAATGCTTTGTACTCTAAATCAGTAAAGATTAGTCAAAATTATGCTGAGTGGCCGGCAGACAGTGGTGATACTCTCAGCAGGAAATAACAGACAAAAATGTTCATCTTTATGGTAAATGTAGGTGGAGTAGAGTATGTAATGATCCTGTTTCCCCACCCCTGTGTGCCTCCATCCCCCCCCCCACCTGCCATGCCTGGCAATTTCCCATCAGCTCACATCATGTCAAAAGGCACCGTGGTTCTGGCTTACAGCGGTGGACTGGACACTTCCTGTATCCTGGTGTGGCTGAAGGAGCAAGGATATGATGTCATCGCCTACCTGGTAAGGGGCAAGACAGTCTGGGTTGCAGCCACATTTCATCCCTCTCCCATCAGCATTGAGGGACAGATAGATAGATAGATAGATAGATAGAATCTTTATTTCTCTCTCTCCTTCTCTGTCTCCCTCCCTCCCTAAGGAAATTACAGGTTACATTTAAAGAGTAAAACAGACATTCAGAGCATAAACAACAATAACAGTGGAAAGAATGTCATAGAAAGTGTTACTCGGAATTCCGGAATGACAGAGTACCTTGCATGCCCGCATTGTGAAAAGTGCGCTTTCTCTGTGTGCAAACCCTTGCATGGATAGCGAGTGCACTAGCGGGTGCTGGTGGCGCAGGGTGGGAGGCGATGAGGCTGTTGGCTTATGGCGCTGGCTTGTGCGAGCACGCCTCTCGCCTCCTTGGGCACTATGGCTGGTTGCCACAGCCGTTATTTGAAGCACCCTTGTTAGATTTCAAAGAAAGCGAAAGGAAGCAAATTCAGGTCAAAAGAGAGGTGGGTCCATCTCTGGCCGTTTTAAGTCCATGTTGTAGCCACTGGCCACTGTAGGGGGGGGGGGCGCACAGTGTTTGTAATAAATATGAGACCTTTCTACCCCTACTAATCTGATTAATTCTTTTTACCCATGAATGTTTTGTACTCTAAATCAGTAAAGATTAGTCTAAATTATGTTGGCCCTTGAGATTTTTACTGCGTGGCCAGCAGACAGTGTTGACACTCTCAGCAGGAAATAACTGACAGAAATGTTCATCTTTACGGTAAATGTAGGTGGAGTACAGAGGTGGATAGTTCAGGTCCAGAAAGTAAAAATCCAGACCAAGATTTCCTTCCAACCAACCTGTTGACTATAAAGAGTCACAATCACAGAGTACTCAACTGGTTGGCTGAAAGAAAATCTTGGTCTGGATTTTTACTTTCCGGACCTAAACTGTCTACATCTGGAGGAGTAGCATATGCAATAATCCTGTCTTCCCAGCCCCATGTGCCGGTGAGGGATTCCGCTATATTTGCTTTTATTGTGGAGCTCGTTGAAATTTTGATAACAGAACAGGCTATAGAAATGAAACACATTAAAATGATTAACAAACCTTGAGAAGTTGCAGTGACTTTAGTAGCAATTCTTTGACTTCTTAATCTTGTCTGTGAGTCATGAACTGACATTATAGACTGTCCCTTAAAGCTCACATGGACCCAGACTGTCAGTGTACAGCCCTGCTGGTGACATCGTCCAGATGTAAAGCTGGGCGCTAAAATCCCCCTTATTTGCCTGTTATTCAGCACCTCTGTTATACATCTATATGGCAGTATCTGCATATTGTTTAGCCGAACCTTTAAAATAGTACTTATAAAATGAGTTCTGTTCCACGACAGACCTATCTCATTGTGAAGGGCTAGGGTAACATTTAGGGGGTGGATGCACAAAAACATGGACCGGCTGCTTGAACCTTGGCTGGGATTGGAACAATTTTTTTCTTCACTGGACCTAATAACCCACATGCCACGTTTATTTTAGTTTTTATTCTTAAAACCTGATTAATTTATTTTTGTTTACATGTTATTTTATGCAATCAAGTCTTGGTTGCAGAGTGCAGAGTGCAGTATGTTTCCTGTCTGAAACATTTATTCATTAACACTATGTGTTATTGGCGATCTGATGTGTGTACTTGTATTTGGACTATTGAGCACTGAATATAACTATGTGGGTAGACAGATATGTACTGTAACTGGGTTTTATTGCTCCACAGGCTAATATTGGCCAGCAGGAGGACTTTGAGGCAGCACGGCAGAAGGCAGAGGCACTTGGAGCAAAAAAGGTACGGCCCAGTATAGTAGCATATCTTGTACTGCAGAGGGGAATATTGTAGGGGCTTAAGCTTTGCCCTTCCGGATTCCCCTGTCGCAGGTGTTCATTGAAGACCTGCGGGAGGAGTTTGTGACAGCCTTTATCTGGATGTCTGTCCAAGCCAACGCCATCTATGAGGACCGCTATCTTCTGGGGACGTCCATCGCACGGCCCTGCATTGCTCAGCGGCAGGTTCAAATCGCTAAACAGGAGGGGGCGCAGTTCGTCTCCCACGGCGCCACGGGAAAGGTACCCCGACAGCCCCCTTACTGTCTTCATGGATCATACATATATGCTTTTTATGGTCATTGGTAGAATATACCCAGTTAATTGCTGTCTATGACCTGCAAAACTAGCACAAAGATATTATGCAATAGTTTAAGTAGACCAGTAGGTGGAGACAAAGCAAAGGCTTTGTAAAAATTGCATAAGAATTATGACACGTCGCAGCATAAACAATCATAAGTGCATACTACTAATTTGCATTTTGTAGGAATTTTCATTCATTCAGCCTGTTTAGAAAGGTTTCATTTAACTTGCTGATGGTGAGAAATCGCTGGTCTACGAATCATGTCCTCTTCTCCCACAGGGCAACGATCAGATTCGATTTGAACTGACGTACTACGCCATTTATCCAACCGTACAGGTAGATTACTTCTCAGTAGTAATGGACTGTGCAGCCTGAATAAGTGTCCCGGGGGGGGGTGGTGCATAAGTGGAAACAGAAGTACAGAAGAATGGAAATTTACATTTGATCTATTGCCTTATTGCCTTTGCTTTGCTCCTGCCCAGATCATCGCCCCCTGGAGGATCCCAGAGTTCTACAATCGCTTCAAAGGCAGGAAAGACCTGATGGAGTATGCGCAGGTAATCCCCCCCCCCCATCCTCCCGAGGCTATTGCACTGCTTCCCCCCCGCCACGTGTCCACATCTGTTTGTGAGTTTTTGAGGATGAAGACCACGTAAAGCTGCAACACGCCGACTCATTAAGTGTTGTGCTCATAGGATATATAATATTTCTCCACTGGATGGCGCTCATAATGTTTCTATATACCTGATTTTTTTTTTGCTGTCATGTTTAGTGATGACTGAGAATGCTTCTTTGGTACCAGCGGTTGGCAGCTTGTGGCCGCTGCTTCACTTTGTATCTCTATTGTATCTCTAACAACCCCCCCTCCAATACACACCTCACCTTGCAGAAAAATGGCATTCCGGTTCCTGTCACCCCCAAGGCTCCGTGGAGCATGGATGCCAACCTGATGCACATCAGGTGGGTCCCACCCTCAGTAACATAAAGCACTGACTAATGCGCCAGTGACTATAATAATAATGATGATCATTTTTATGGTAATTATCATACTGTTCAGCTGGACTGTATTTCAGTCATATATGTTTGCAGGTAAATGCCTTTTACCCCTTAACACATTAGCGATTATCTGCACCTGTGTCTTCATGCATCTTGTTGCTGTAATGCCGACGTTATTTTCTCTGTTACCGCAGCTATGAGTCCGGGATCCTGGAGAACCCAAAGGTACCACGCACTGGGCTTGTGGATGTACCAGCAGAACCTGTGGCTCGCAGTAACTTGACACAGAGAACAGAAGCCTGGCATTTCTGGGTCATGGGCGCTGGGTACAGGGGACGGGTTTCCATGTCTGTCACATGGAGCAGTCATGTGGTCTGTAGAGTGTTGATTTACAGTAAGGGATTCAGTAAAATAGTTAATCATAATTAATGTAAAATAGTCAAGATGATAAACCTTAGACTCCAGGCTTAGATGAAGTTGAACTAATTAAAGTACAAAACCAGTACTTCATATAGTTCGTTATTAATTGGCTTTAGGTGATTTAATTTATTTATTGTTTCATGAATTTGTGAGTAGAAAAAAATCAAATTCATTGGATGATACCCAAAGAAAAGAACCAGGAGCTGCATGAGTCACTTCAAAGACTCTAAGAGCCATTGTCCAGACTGTCTGGACACATTCCCGCACTCTGAGAGAGGGGGATCCCTGGGGGTCAAAGGTCACGCGGCAACACCCGAGTCGCCCCTTAAGTCCCCAAATAAGCTAGCCTGCTAGCAGCCTGTCCCTCTTCCTCACCCTCTTTGTCCCTCGTTCTCGCTCACACATCCCCTGGGAAGAAGTCGGGACAGACAGGCACTGGTCTATCAGGGTCGGCTCTGGTAATTAGCGATTTCATGGGAGTTTGCTTGCAGTGCTGGGGCCAGCCGGTCAGCTGGCCCCAGACCCCCAGCATGCCCCCCTCCCCTCCTCACTATTGTTGCTGTGGTCATGCCCGGGCTGCACATGAAGAACTGCCCCCCTGTTGTGTTAATGTGTTAACACCCCAGCGTATCTGTAGACAAATGTAACCCGTGGTAGCAATGTACTTCAGGAGTCTAAACTGACTTTTTAAAGTCGTGATATATTACATCAGTGTCGCACTATAATAAAAATATTAGAATGACTAATTCCTCAAGGATTATGGTAGTAAAAAATGCAGCTGGAAATTATTTTAAGCCAACAAATAAACTGATTATAATTTAGAGACCTGATGCCTTATAATTGTTAAACAGCCCTTTTCCGTCGGTGAGACGTTGCCGTCCTGCCTGCTGAGTTGTGTGATTTGGTTTTCTATTGCTGTCATACAGATATTGCTATGAAGGGAGTGCAAACAGGCAATGAGATCCCTCATTTATTTTACCATTTATTGAAAAGCCTATAGACTCCAGCAGTGCATGTAAAAGGATCCCGGTTATTGGCTTCTCCCGGTAGTGAGGTCAGGCCTGAACATTATCGGTATGAGTTTTGCCCCCGTACACCGATGACCCTTCTTTTTCATATTTGCACATTCCCATTCCCTCTGTATGTCTGCGCAGTCCCAGAGTATTAATATGCAGCATGACTCCAGGTGTACGGTACCGTGCAGTGATCTTCATGTTGGTGTAAAACTATGACATTGTGCCTGTTAAAATGTGTCAGCTTAGCCATTTCAAATCATCTCCTACAGTTACCTCAGCAGTTACTGTCCAAGGTATCCATGTATCTGTTGACTGGCCCACTAGCAAACCATGTTTGGCTAATGAGTACCTCATTGAGTTATTTAACTAATTAAGTAAATGAATTAATTGAGCTGCTGGTGAACTTTAACAAATACATGGAATGGCTGGGATGCCCCTGAGGGGAGGTGTGGGAACCTCAATCCAACTGCTATTCAAAAAGATATCAGTAACCTTTTTGGAGAACAGACCTAAGTTTTGTTGGCTTTTATTGGCCTGTTTTTATTGTGTTACTGTCCTATTTGAATATTTTTTTCTGAGCAAATGTGCATTTACTACCCTTATAAATGGCCTTAAACATTGTCTTTGACTGCCTAAGACTGTTGCACAGTGCTGTACCTAAAGGCTTTTGTGAAACACACTTAACCAAAGGAGATACATACACAGAGAAATACGGGCTGGATCCATTGGATCTATTGTTAATGATCAGGTGATCTTTGGTGATCAGAGACTGTCTCAGAAAAGCAACATTGCTCCTGCCTAGTGAACCTCAGCCAGGTATCCATTACATCTGTAACATCTACACTTGTGTCTTGCAGAACCACGCCCCCTCTGATCTCTTCATGATGACCAAGAATCCACAAGATTCTCCCAACACTCCAGACATGCTGGAGATCGAGTTCAGCAAAGGTGAGCATCCCTATATATCCTCTTCAGTGTCTCCTTATTATCGGGATATTATGGGATGGCAAACACCTCTGACGACTGAAGGCCAATCCCATAAGTGGGTTTATCACACTGAGATTGCAGTGATGTTGCAATGGGCAGGACATTGCGCAGCCAATAGGAATGCACTGATAAATACAATTATTTCTTCAAGCTGTTCAGCAACTGTCAGTCACAATCGCATGTTTTGGTATGTCAGCATTTTACCGTGAACCTCAGCTACAGGTATCCATCGACTTACATGCAGGATATGTTCAATCTGGACATATCTAGATCATTATAGGGGAGAGATCAAATATACAGTACAACATAAAATATAATATCACACACATTTTACCAAACCTCTGTAGTGGCAGTGAAACCAGTTTGTTTTGGTTCTTGCCGCATGCCACACACGTGGCAAAATTTGTCCACTAACGTCCACTGCGTGGTCTGCTTCGGACGTCTCTTGATAAATTTTTATCAGGTTCTTATGGGACGTAAGTACAGTCGGACATTAGTCAAAAGGACATAAGTTGACAGGTATGTATTAATCCAAAAAAAACCTTGTTATACTAGCAAGAACCACAACGAGAAGCAGAGTTAACCAACCCAAATTAAGCTCGTGTCTGTAAGATGCCTATGTTCCTGCTTTCAGTCCGCGCCTCACCTCATTTCCCCATTAAAGGCAGAGATACTAATTAAAGTGACAAGTGAAGCTATGATTTTTATTGCATTTATAATTGGCCCATTGTGTATTTTGGGTGGGCAGTGGGGGGCTCGGGGGCAGGGGGGTGAAAGTATTTGCATGCATAAGTTGCCTGCTTTTGTGTTGAAGTGAAAGGCTCGAATCCTAGAGAATATGCTCCTTTTATATATTTTTAAAATTTATCTTATGTTTTCTCATCCCCTTCAGTGTAGGAGTCGGGGAGTAATTTTTTAATGCTGATCTGAAAGCCTGGACTCCCACAGATGTGCACATTTAATTTTTAACTTCTTTTCGCTCTGTTCCTTCAGTCCACAGTTGAGACACATTATTCTTTTCTCTCTCTCCTTTTTTTCCGACAGTTTTACTTTTCCATGGAACTTTTTCCCTCCTTTTCTCTCCGGCATTTTGCATTAATTGGGGGGTGGGCAGGGAAACATAATGGCGTAATTTTTCCTACAACTGTGTCCGCTGCCCCTTTGTGTGGCTCCCCCCATCTCGAACCGAAGAAAGGGCCGCCCCAAATCCTCGAACCCGGGGAGGGACACGGCATCCCGATAATGGAGCTCCCTTCGACACATTCTTTATACAGAGTTTTAATCAGATTATTAACACGCCGAGGACAGATCATGAGAATTCTCACGTTTTTTTTTGGCTTACTGTGTTAGCTGTTCTTTATATCGTTTGCATTTCGCCACGTAAAGAAAGGCGATGAAAACTTCTCGAGCCGACCATCGCTAACCGCCGATGAGACACGGATTAATAGATTTATTATAGACAAAGATTCTTTTCTGTGTCCTTCTTTCCCAAGAGCTTTTCACTCGTCCTGCCAAGGAGCCCTGAGCTCTCACACTGTCACTCTCACCCGAGGGATAGACCCACGAATTCCTGTAGCTTGAGCGGGAAACGGAGAACAGAAAAAATTTGGGATGAGTCAAGGAAGAGGGTGGGGGGTGACAGAGACATCGACCTGGGAATCATTTCACAGGTTTAATCCAGAAGGGGGCAACAGCTTTTTTAAAATTCATGTGCACTTCTGTCTGTTCCCCCTTCCTTCCTCTTGACTTCTCCTCTGGACAGTTTCTATGACCAATCGTGGGCATTTTAGGACTGTTGACACACCTGAGCAAGCAGATATACATCCTCAGCACTCCGTAGATCAATGTTTCCAAGTCCAGTCCTCAGGGACCCACAGTCGGTTTTTGCTCCCTGCCAGACAGTCCACATTTTTGCTATGTCACATTTTTGTTCCTTCTCAGCTCCAGGAACAAAAACATGGACTGTCTGTGGGTCCCCAAGGACTGGATTGGGAAACACTGCCCTAGATAGCGTTTGGCACTGTGCTTATAGAAGAGTGTTCTTAGTGAGACACGACCGACAGCGTGACCCACGGCTTGCATCTGTGTCGATGCCCTTTCTCATTTGTATAAATGGATAAATAAAAAGTAATGTGAAGTGAATAAAATGGGATAGATTCCGTCTCCATCACCATCCTGTCCCGTCCACAGGTGTCCCAGTCAAGGTGACTCATCTGACGGAGGGGAAGTCGGTGGACACGGCCCTGCAGATTTTCACATACCTCAATGAGATCGGGTAAATTGATCTTCCTGTCCACAAGGAGGCACAACATTTCTGTCCAAAAACTTAAGTGTCTGAACCATAGTGTGCCTTTGATGGAGGGCAGTACTGAAGCCCAATGACTGCAGCAGAATATTTAGCCGTGTTATTGTGCAAACTATTTGTCTTCAGTATCAGTCTGTTCTGCCTTGAGCTGAGTAATTGCTTTTGCAGAACTTGTGCTGTTAGGACAAAACTAACTTCCCCCCAGGCGATAGGAGACAGGTCATGTGATTAAGGTGGTTCTGGCGCTGCAGTGAGCTAAGGGGGATCGTGTGTCCATGGGCATGATTACACACCCTCTGTGGTTCTGTGCAGCGGGAGACACGGCGTCGGCCGCATCGATATAGTGGAGAACCGTTTCATCGGCATGAAGTCCCGGGGTAAGGAGACACGGGGCCACAGGGCAGGGTTTTACGGGGCCCCCCATCCACAGGGCAGGAATTCACAGGGCCGACATCCACAGGGCAGGGGTTCACAAAGCACACATCCACAGGCCAGAAATGCATGGGGGCCCCCATCCACAGGGCAGGGATTCATGGGGGCCCCCATCCATAGGGCAGGGATTCACAGGGCCCACATCCACAGGGCAGGGGTTCACAAAGCACACATCCACAGGCCAGAAATGCATGGGGGCCCCCATCCACAGGCCAGAAATGCATGGGAGCCCCTATCTACAGGGCAGGGATTCACGGGGGCCCCCATCCATAGGGCAGGGATTCACGGGGGGCCCCATCCACAGGGCAGGGATTCACGGGGGGCCCCATCCACAGGGCAGGAATTCACAGGGCCCCCATCCACAGGGCCGGAATTCACGGGGGCCCCCATCCACAGGGCAGGGATTCACAGGGCCCACATCCACAGGGCAGGGACTTAACTTTAACCAGGTAAAATTATCCAAATTGCAGTTACCAGGGACATTTGTGCTGGGTTTTCTACGTGTGTAGATATAGATTCTTGCCCATAAACACTCTGCTGCCTTCTGTCATTTAACCTGTTACCATTTTCCATGAAGAGAACAATCATGTGCCATCTTCATTATTTACAACCTAGGTTATTATTATCTATAAATATATATTTAAATATAGAATCTATAACCTAGGTTATTATACTCTGAGGCAATGCTGATGTCACACCTGCCTCCTACCCCGTCCCCTCCACATTTCTGAACACAAACCTGCAGAATGCCCCATGATTAGACTAAGAGTGATATGAGAACCTCACTGAATTATAACCTTTGTGATGTACTGAGTTTGCTCCTTGCTGTATCATGTTGACTCCTAAGGCTTCTCTTTGATTACTGCTGGCATCTACAATCTCACCCATCTTCTGATCCTGCTTTGCATAATTCTCTGGATTTTTTCTGACCTTGCTCTCATCTGAGCCATGATTCCTTGACGATTTGTGCCTCTTATCCTACAAAATGATTCATTGAACCCTGTTACTCAGCGTTTCTCAACTAAGTCCTCAGGGACCTCCCAGAGAGTCCATGTTTTTGCTCCCTCCCAACTCCCATTAGGGAGCAAAAATGTGGCCCATCTGGAGGTCCCTGAGGACCGGGTTGGGAAACACTGCTCTGACCTTTCCTTGGATCTCAGGCCTCTAGACGTTTCAGCCCCCAACATCCATGTGTGTGGTCTTGTGTGGCCTGAGCTGTCTATTATTTTTTTATTCTCAGCATTTCTTAATTTCCTCTTCATTCAGGCATCTATGAAACTCCTGGAGGCACCATCCTGTTCCACGCTCACCTGGACATCGAGACTTTCACCATGGACCGGGAGGTTCGCAAGATCAAGCAGGGCCTGGGGGTCAAGCTGTCAGAACTCCTTTACAATGGTAGGTTGAAAGCATGTGTTCCACATTTTTGCGGGAGCTGGGAGGGAGCAAAAACGTGGACTGTCTGCGGGTCCCAGAGGACCAGATTGGGAAACAGTGCAATAGAGGTTTGCTGTCTTGAGGTCTGACCCCACGATGGTGTTTGACTTCACTGCTGATCTGCGGTATTTTCTCCGAGACCAGAGTAGGGCAGACCAGGCGGGGAATGCCTCGATGAGATTGGTAGCAGAAAACCACCCTGTGGGAATCCGGCGATGGGTGGAGAGAATCGATCTGAGATTGTCTGCGAATGCAGAAATCCATCCCTTCACATTAACAGGATTTTCAGATTCATCAGGGCTTGTTGACTAGAGGGGCATTGGGTTTGGTCACAGGACCAATGTGATTTTGAGCCAGAAAGTTGCATGAGGGCCCTTTCCCCACGCAGCGCAGAGTGTTTACTTTCGTCTGTGGGGTCTGCAGGTTGACGGGCACGCATGTGAGCCCAGCTGCGTAATGGGACTGAGGGAGTCAGACGCTTTGTCAGACGAAATACGGCCTCCTGCCTTCGCTCATTACGTTCATTAAAGTGAACCTCGTGGTACCAGCCAGACCCACCTTTAAGTGGGCCGCTCTCAGAGCTGCCACCAGCTGATACTCGGCACCCCCACCCCCCCGCCTCCAGAAATGGCCCCCCCACCGCGGTGGCCCGGCTCAGGTGTCCCCATCCCTTTGTTTGGAGGGTGGCTGGGCCCCCTCCCCCCCCACCACATTTGTAATGAGGTTTCTTCTGTTAGGTACTCCTTATGGGGGTCCCTGCAATTAGGCCCACATGGGACCCGGGGGCTGGAAAGGTGCGAGCTGCTGTGGGGGGGTCAGGCGGAGGATGAAGAGTGGGGAGGGGTCGTGGATTAACCTCATTAGTCTTTAACTATAACAATTAAGACCGTAGCTGGTGCTTCTCTTGGGGTTGCCAGAGTGGGCGAGGTGCTCCCTGGGAGCGTCTGTGCGGGATTTTTCTCTGGAGATCAGACGCACGCACCCAAGCTGTTGATGTTCCACATTACGGGAAAATTCTGGAATTCTGCATGCAAACATCCACTGACTTATTATTTGATGCTCTGGCCTGCAGGCCTCCCAGTTCCCTCAGAGCGAATATCAGACAGGAAAAAAAGAGGAATGTGATACTCCACTTTACCCGTGGGGCAGATGTGGGGGATGGGGGGGAGAACCACGGTGGTCCCTGTGGCGCTATGCCTAAGAGAGCATGGTTAACTGTGGGGTAAGAAGTATGGCAGAGAGTGAGAGCTCTGTGTGTGTGTGTGTGTGTGTGCGAGCGAGTACACCTTACCTTATGGGGACACAATGTCCCCACAACGTGATGGACCAGTTTCCTTACATGGAAGAGACATCCTGACCTCACATCGCAAAATGGAAAAGCTGGGAAGTAGAGCTGCAAATAAATCACAGATAGACGACATAGGTGATTGGGCTGGGGGGGTCTGAGCCTCTGGCATGGGTTTCAATCCCATGGCGGGGAGGTCATGTCAACATAGGGCCTTCATTCGAGGCCTTAATCCCGAACTGCTCCGGGGCAACCCTACTCACTGACCTCAAACTTTCCTTATTTGTACAGATCTTTAGACAAAAGGGCTAAATGTATAAATCAATTTGAAATTTTAGACCTTTGGTTATATCATGTGCTCTGCACCCCCCTTCAGGTTTTTGGTACAGCCCCGAGTGTGAGTTTGTACGCCACTGCATCACCAAGTCCCAGGAGAACGTGGAAGGGAAGGTGCAGCTCTCGGTCTTCAAGGGGCAGGTGTACATCCTGGGCAGGGAGTCCCCCAAGTCCTTGTACAACGAGGAGCTCGTCAGGTGGGAGATCGTCGCGTCTGCATGTTTATCCTCTCAACGTTAACACTGATGGAGTCTCCGCACAATGACTCCATTCAGGCACGGAGCGGTTTCACCCTCGGGGTGGTGTCGGGGATTGAGACACTGGGAGGGACAGGGTGAGAATGGCTGCGCTAATGGCCGGTCTGTCCCATGTTTACCGTGTGACATTCACAGCCAAGGGTAAAGCTGAGGATGGCGTGGGAAGGGCCTCTTCCACATCGGTTAACGTTTGCACAGATGAAAGCCCGCCCCTCAGCTCAAACACTTGGGCTCAGTGGGACTTTGGGTGTTGAGTTGCAGCAGTCCAACTGAGTGGAGACATCCTAAGGGCAGCATTTTAGGGAACTTGTGGGGGGGGGGGGGGGGGGCAAGTGAACAGATGGGTACTGGGAATAGTTCCATTATGATGGAGAGTCCACCAGGCCTCCAGGGAGGGTGATGCCCACTTAGCTGTGGCATATTTCACACTCATTCATAAATGTACATGATGACACCCCCCCCCGCCCCCCCCACTCACACACACGTCTGTATTCATATCTTTGTGGGGACCATCCATTCATTTCTATGGGCAAAACCCTAATCCCAATCACCCCATAAAGCCCCATAAACCCTTAAACACATATATATGTATTTGTGTGTGTGTGTGTGTGTGTGTGTGTGTGTATACATATGTTTGTGTGTGTGTGTGTGTATACATATGTTTGTGTCTATGTGTGCGTATGTGTGTATTTACTCTTAATCCACACAGACAAAGAACCACTCTGGCTCAACTGACTCTAGGCTGCGGTGCCTTTAGCCTTTAGCATCAATCCAAGTAGATGCTTTTCAGCCCATTACCCATGAATGTCAGAATGTAGCGCGTAGCTACATGTGCTGATTCCATCGCCTGGTCCTCCTGTAATGTTTGGGAGTTAGAGAAGATGGAATAAGGAATCAAGAAGAATCCCCAGGATCACAGGAAAGTCACAACCAAAAATCACATTGTTACTGGATGAGATATTAGTGTTACTGGATGAGATATTACGCAATTTCTCTCTAGGGATCAATAAAGTTTTTTTCCGATTCTGATTCTGATATTGCAAGTGTGATAGATAGCACTGTTATGGAGGGTAGTATCAAGAAACAATGATGTCATTGTGGTGACCCCCCATCAGCGAACAGAGGGACAAGAGGTGTGGAAAAAAACAGAAAATAGGAAACTCTGGATTTTCATAGAGCCTTAAAAAAGTTCACATCAAAGGAAGACGTCAATGGCATGTCTCTGTGAGCAAGATTTGTATTTTACGATCATTTGCAATTAGCTTCGGCTCAAGGTTGCTGTCCGTAATGAAAATGATCATGCTGAGAATTTCCCACGTTCCCCACTGCAGACACATGGGCAGATTAACTCCCTTCTCCGTTGTGAATAATTGATACAGCATAACTAAAGCAGCACTGTACCTAACTCCGCTGATATTCGCCACACAGCCGTGCTGTGTAAACATCTTGAGAGAGCTGTTCAATCCCTCAGCAAGAGCATAGGTGATGTCAGAGGATCCGTCTCCATCAAGCGGGATTTATGGCAAACGTGGTTAGTCAATAAGTGCAGTGGGACCCTGTTAGAGAGCCCCGAAAGGCCTACCAGAGGTACCTTGTGAGATTGGGATGCCAATCACACTTACTTATCATATGCAAATGTATTAATTATTCATAATGCCCTAGCAGCCCACGGTGAAGGGTAGCGGACATCATGGAAGAGACATCAGCGGGACGATAACTGCTCACCTACTCTTACAAACCACGTTACTTAGGCTCTACCTCTGCCTCGTTCTGCCACCGTCTTGGGTCATGGATCTAAGCATCTGTGTAAGATTTCACTGATGACTTCAAGTTTTACAGAGTTCAGAAGAATTTCTTTGTATTGGATAGCCTTCAATGTATCAAGTCTTCCCATCAATCAATCTATCCCTCCATTCATCCATCCATCCATCCATCCATCCATATATCCATCCATCCATCCATCTTCTAACTACTTACCTTGGGCCCTGGAGCCCATACAGCAGAGGACATGAGGCTGGGGTACCATGAAGGATATTAATTTGTAATTTAAATATTGATATGTAGATATATATAGTTGTTGTGTGCATTTCTCTTAATGATTGGTAGACTTTTACGAATGCTCGATGCAAGGGGGTACGTTGTGAGGCATGTAGGGGCAGGGGGATTTGAGGAGCTTGGGGTGAACTTGCTGGGGAGGGGCGGGGTGCTAGCAGTCTGGAAAAAAGGTGCAGTTTGAAAATAAATAGCTTATTTTTGGAAGTTAACTGGTAGAATCCCAGCAGTGGACAGAAGGTTGAGAATCCCTGCTGTGCATGCTTTGTGCAGGTGTGGTGTCTGCATTTGTTTTAATATTTACTATCCTGATTGTACAGAATACAGTGCATGTTTCTGTGCTTAGCCGTGCTTTTTTGTTCCCTCCCATAATAGCATGGACATCCAAGGAAATTATGACCCTTGCGATGCTTCGGGATTCATCAAGATCAACGCCGTCAGGTGAGTGCCCCCCCAGGGGGCTGCGAGATGGCATGGAGAGGAGCTAAGGAGACAGTATAGTCCTTATCTTGATTTGACTTGACTTGACAAGGTGCTAGTAAAAGGTTATCTGATGGATGCTCTCTCTCTTGCTCCAGGCTGAAGGAGTACAACAGGCTGCAGAGTCAGGCTGACTCCACGAACTGAGAGGTCAGTGGGGGGTCAGAGAGTCCTCATGCTGCCCCTGACTGTCACCTCATGCCACCATGTGCCAGGAACCTGCCAGGCCCTGCTACCCACTTTCCCGTCATCCTCACCCTGTCTCTGGTTGCTATGCTGTAGTAGTACAATGTTGTCAAGGATCTTACGGAATAAAGGAATTAGTGGTTTAATAAATCTCATTGTATTCTTTGGTTTGATTTAATTCCTCAGCTGAATATCTCTTGTTTACAGTGGCCATCAAGGACCAGTTATATTTATGGGCGTGGCCATGGTCCTTGGCTCCACCCCTACTTGTTGAGTCTTTGGGTGTTTCTCAATATGCATACTTGACCATACTTGTACCCATTTTACATCACCTTCCATTGCCGACGACCACTTCTAATACTCAAGAACAGAAGTACAGAGGATGGTCAAAATCTCCAAATGTCGTTCTTGCCCCCCCTCATATACCAAGGATACATCAGTTGCATCCTCTCCGAATGAAACCAATCCCATGATTCATTGTGGCTCAAGTACGTTCTTGGAAGGCAAGTTAATGACACCGCTCTTGCCAAGACCACGAGTACAATCTTTGCATTCTTGGTATTGAGAAACAACCCGTCATTGAGAGCAGAGACTGTGACCTCATTGTCACAAGTTAACGGTCTTCCTGCGGTGGTGCATCGGCAAAAAAGTGTGCCCTGCAGAGAGGACTCAGCTTCGATTGCTGCTGTCTCACGTTAGCCATCTGCAGCAAGGAGCCCCAGTGAAAGCTATATGGATGGTTCTGACTCTTTGTCGATGCTCTGCAGCAAATGCCCACTGTTGAAACAGTCTACAGGTGCAATGAGGTGAATAACAGCGTCGCCCTGACAGCCTGCACTGTGGTGCAGGGTTAGGGTTAGGGGTCAGGGGTAGGGTTATGGTCGAAACCTGGAGCAACAAGTGTTACCATTCACTCCTTCCATGCTAGCGTGAGCGTCCCACGCTAACGGGAGACCTTAAAAAACAGGATGTGCACTGGGGCACCTGTGCATAGGAACAAAAGCTTATATGACTGATAATAAGGCTCAGGTGAAGAGAATGAATGGGCCTGTCACCCGACTGTGGCCCCTCCCCCCCGGGACACAAGCACATCCTCCATCTTACACCCATACATTTACAGCACAGCTCGTCTGTTTATTTTGCGTCTTAGTTCTACGTGTGTCAAGCAGACATTTAAATTATGAATCAACATGTTATGCAAACTCCTGTCTTCATTTATTCTTCATGTCTTGCCTGGAGAACACAAATACGAAGTAGCACATTTCACAAATAGGAAATTGGGTTAAATAAATGATTCTCATTTAGGTTGTTTCTAAGAGTCTTTTTTAAGAGTCTTTTCTAAGAGTCTTTTTTTGTTGTTGTTGTTTTATTGTACTGCTGCTTGTTTGGGCTTTTCCAGAACCCTTTTTGGACTGTATGTTAACGTTTTATGGTGGCTGGAGAGCCAGCAATACCCCCCCCCCCCAGGATAAAATAAGCCACTCCCTGCTGGTAACAACTGCACTCAGCGGAACATCAGCCCCATCATTTCAGTTTCTCCAATAGCCCCCCCCCCCATACTCGAATTGCTTTTTTACCTCCCAGGCATCTCTGTGCACCCATTCATTTACAATCTGCCCCCCATCCCCCATACACCATAGTCCACAGCAGGTTGTGTCTAATCACCTCACTTTGGGGAAAATCACCAAAAATGTTCTGAAAAGTGCAGCAGTTGCAAAACAGAGCAATGCATGATGGGTACTGGGCCGCTGCTGGGAGAGACACCCATGCTCCCACGTTTCACACTTGTGTCACACAAATGGAAAATTAACAATCCTTGAGCCACGGCAATTATCCCTCGTTAGTGATCTCACCTGAGGCTCTGCAAGGAGTCTAATGGCACAGGAAGCGGATTAGATATCGTTGCTGTTGCAGAATTGAATCTTTCAAGGCACCTTTGTCTCCCCCGAAACAAATCCCCAGTTTCTGACAATCCATCCAGCTCTCGAAAAGGCACAATTGCTTGGGCTTTTTGCTTTGGAGACATTGTTGGTGCACAGGAGATTACATCTGGCTTTCTGATATATGCTTAAAAAAGTTCAATGCTGACAGAGGAAGATGTTCTGCTGCCTCATGTGGATCAGGAAAGTCTTACATGAGCACATTATATGACTGACTGCAGGAATCCATTCTTCAGAAATGTGCGCCTTTTACTACAGGCCCTGGGTCATTCTAGAGGTTTATCAGCATCCATTTTTTCATAACCTCTGCGGTGCATGTGACAGGCACCTAGCCTGGGATAAAGAGACCAGTGGATCTGACGACAGTGCCATTGCAGGAGAACACTGAAGGCTTTGTCTGCACCCTTTGTTGCTGCCGACGGCCTTTTCAGTCCCCGCCAGCCTTCTGGAGGGCGAAGGGTTAACTCTGCCTCGGATTGTTAATGGCTCCAGAACTGAGGAATATGTTACTAACTCACCATCCTCAGTGTTGATGGGATCGTTTTTTCCACAGGTAGAGACAGACGTCAGATTGATGCGGTTTATCGGGGATGGCACGGGCTGTGTGAGAGGCTCTCAGCCGCCGGCAAGACATCATCCCCTGCGTGGTGGGGTCAAAGGCCTCTCCTCAGGCTCCGTAAACAGATGGGAGGCCATTACAGTCAAAGCCGGGGCTCTGTTCCAGGGATTAAATATTGATGTAAGCGTGGAAATATTTTGCCTCCTGCCTGATGTTCCCCATCTCAGCGGGTTTAATGTACTCCCCCCCTTCCTGTTACATCAATTTACACAGTAGGCTGCTACACTAAGCACACCGAGGCACTTGTCAGTCTCACCCCATGGGATCACAAGCGATCGATTCCCTCTTATCATTTCGTACAGTGGGGCCCGCAAAGCCGCATCAGATGGAATGGCTCAGCGGCCATACGGTGTGGCCGCTCTCTCAGAAATGTGCGGTGAGTACTTTCCGGCATTTTCTCTGGCCGTCACGTCAAACCTTCGCCTGCCACTGAGGCCTCTAGACTCGGGTCTGTTGACTTAACTTGACAAAGCAACCTGGGGTTGTTGCATTGCCTCTAACATGGAAAAATCAATTTGGTTCCCAAAGCTGACAAACAGAAAGCATGATCACCAATATTTATCAATTTCTTGGTTGCCCTATGAGAGAGCTTAAATATTTTACAAGTACATCAATCAATCTTCCATAACCACTTATCCAGTAGAGGGTCAAGGTGAGCCAGGGGCTTTAGAGAAGGACAGGCTGCAGAGCAGCGGGCATCTTAGACAGGATGCCAGTCTAATACAGGGGCGTTTGTCCACCACACCAGATACTGTACTTCTGGTACTTCCACAAAGTACCAAAAGTACGGTACTTCAAGGTGTTGGTTTTCCACTGGCGTAAAAACTGGTATTGGCGCCAAATGACATCACAAGGTGAGGCAGAGTATTTTGTACTGAATTTGAAAAATAGCTATAGTACATTACAGGACTGCACAATGTGCGACATTAATATCAAACATTGCCCGTTATGCACATGCAGTTCTAACATCGCTGGTCAGATTAAGATTCTGTATGGATATTACAGTGCAGGGGTTTAAATTTCGTTAAAACATTTTTACTTTGTCATTTAAATGATTTTACTTTTCAAGATTATCTAGTAGGCCTATATTTTTTAATCAGTTTAATGTTTACCTCCGCTGCTTTCGCAAGAGCTCTACATGTGTTCTCAGAGACAATCATAATCATTGTCATCCTTGCTGTTTAAATCACTCTTAGATGGGTTTGTGACAAATTTATGCGCAACTACTTTTTTGCTTTATAAATATTTGTTGCAACACAATCAAATTTCCCAATAACGTGCTGCCCTAGGGTGTTATACAGAATACTTTGTTTTTATTTCTTGTCATGCCATCCTGATCTTGTTGTATCTGTTCTTCCAACCAGATCGCAGCTTGGGTCTCTTCATTTGTCCATGCATCCATAATTATTATTATAATTTTTTTACTTTGTAAAAAAGTTTTTAAAAAAACGGCTATTTGCATAAGCAATCGTTTGCGAGTTCCTCTCCAAAGTACTGAAGTACTAAAGTGGTTGGCCACTTTAGGTTCTGGAACTTTTGTTACGAGTACACCGGAAGTCAATGGAAAAGGGAAAATACTGTATCACATGAATGGAACCTGGTGCAGTGGAAAAGTGCTCTGTGAGAAACGTCACTTTGCCAAAACCGATTTGTGTGTGGATTGTGTGTGGGAACACATACAGATGCAACAAGGTCATATAAACTCCAAATGCACAGTCAGAGACTCAAATTTGAATGCACAGCCCTGGAGATTTGAGTTGCGCTGCCCACTAAGCTTCTGTTTACAGCCATCTCAAACGTAAGTCCCTGGCCTAATTACTGTATGGCAGTATGACTCATTAGAGCCTACTACCTTGTTCTCTTATATAGGTAACAATTTACAAATGAGCCGTATTTTACTTACGTTACATAAGAAACAGTGTAACACTAAAAACACTACGCCACACTTATTGTTTAATTTGTATTGTTTAATTATTCGGTATGCACTCTTATCCCAGGTGATTTTAGTATAACTTTGAAATGCTACCTTTACCCTGCTCACGAGTCTGGCAATAATGGAATTCCTGGCACTTGAACCAGGGACCTTTTGGTCACAAATCCTCATTCTTAACCACTGTATGGCTGCCAAAAATGCAACAGGGAAAAGATGGAAAATGGCTCTGGCCAAGGAATCACTCAAAGTCAGCTGAGGAGGTGAAAAAGAAAAATACAGTACCGACAGGAACAGAGAGAACAGAGAGGTGAATGCTTTTAATAGATGGCTGTGAAATGAAGATGAAGGAGGATGTTATATGGGGAATGGCGGAACTTATCAACTCACAGCATGTTGTGGAGAAGCTCGCAAGCCAAAATAATATAAATTCATGCCTATGTGGGGGAGGGGGGCAGCAGCTTTGGTCATTTGGTCTAAATCTGCCATCACCAGATTGTGAAAAAGATTTTGGTGAGGATGGGGGGGGGGGGGACTCCCTGATGATAGCACTTGCCAACCGAAGGGTGGCATCCCCAATGGTAAAATTTCGTAGAGCTAAGTAGGGGAGGGGTCCCCGATGATCCCTGATGATTTGCCAACTGGGGGGGGGGGGGGTTGC